ACACAGCAACAGCAGCTAGGTGAGATGTAACTCTCTTTTTTTTTTTTCCTTTCTTTTTTCTTCCCCCCCCCCCTTTTTCCTTTTTTTTTTTTAATTTGGTAGGAAGTGATGTGTTCACATTTTAAAGGGGTTTTTGCTTGGGATGTGAGCTCCCTGGGGCAGCAGGATGTTCCCGTGCAGATCTGGGGACTCCTTGGCACCAGCAACATGATCATTGCCCTTTCGTTGGACACAACCCAAAATGGAGATGGCAGGATGCAGGTAACAAGCTTGAACCTGGTGTATCCCAATATTTGGAAGACATCTCTTACATTGCTCCATTCTAGTCCCTTTCCAGCTGTTATTGCACCTTATGGATCAGGAAAGGGAGATAGAAATGACTTGGGGTTCTTCACATGGACTCAGGCTGAGGATCCAGGACTGTGCCAACACAACCCTGCAGCAGCAGATCTGGGTGAACAGAGGAAGCTCCAGGGCTGGCAGGCAGAAAATAGGGAAGATGGCCTGATAAACGAGTCCAAACAAATTATATAGAAAAATAAGAAAAATAACTGTCCTGTAATTATAGAGCAAAGGACAAGGTTATAGAGCAAAGGACAAGGTCACCCCATGGCTGTGACAGAGCAAGGACAAACCTCCCACCTGCCATCCCTCCTGCTGGCAGTGCTTAATCCCTCAGCAGTGCCACGTAGGAAGAACTCTGCAAATGGCATCAGGAAGGACAGGGACAGGGAAAGGACAGGGGGAACACGCCTGAAATGGGGCCCACCAAAAGCTGCATTTGTTGTGGCCCTGTGGGAAGGTAAAACATCTTCCTGTAAAGCTGCCAGTTCATAGAAAGGGCCATGGAACAAGACCAGAACATGAGAAAGCAGCTCATAAAGGCCAACTTCTCTCTGGGTGTAACTGGACCCAACGGTGTGGATGATGCAGGGAGCTCTGGGTTTAATTTAACAGAGAAAAAAAAATCATCAAAGAACATTTATAAAGGTTTGTGTCATTCTTGTGTGTTTCCCATCACATGGGGATGTGTCAAAGGATCATGCTTAGTCCTGCAAGTGCTGAAGAGGGGTCTGGAAATAGTTATAGTAAAGCACATGATCCAACAGACCAGGGAAAAGAAGAAGAAAATCCAGCCTGGAGGTCCTGGCTTTCTCTTACACTCCCTACCACCTTATTCCCTCTCCTGAAAGCCTCACCAGTGCCCCAGGAGTGAGAAATAAGATGATGAGGGAGGTAAAATGCTGCAGCACATGGAACTGCAGCCCGAGTGTGTCACCGAGCCCTCGGTGGCAGCTCAGCTCCACGCAACTGTCGCTGCAAAAAACATCCTGAATCAGCACCAGCTGGCTGGAAAATGAAAGCTGGGCTGTTTGCTCCCCTCTTGCACCTCCCAAAATAGCCAGCAGCTTCCCTATGCTCACCCCCCTCCCAACCACAAACAGTCCCACCTTCCCCAGCAATCAGGGACTGACCAGCGGGAGCCACAGCCACGTCCACCCTCCCCCTCTCTGTGCCCCTACAAATGACCTACAAAGGGGCATTTTTGAAGATTACCAGGGTATACATGTCTGGAAAGTGTTGGGAAACACAGCTGCCCCCTCCCAGTGCCCTAGGTGCCATGCAGAGGCTGTGAGGTGCTGCGAGACATCTCCAGCAAAGAGGTAAAATCATCTTAAACCACCCCCGTTGTCTCCACGTTTATCTCCACCTAAAGAAGAAACGAAGCATAAGAAGGTAGGCAGCACATTTCTTCAGGCACCTTCAGAAGGCCAAGGAGCTGCAGGAGTCCTGAGGGCTGCCCACCTCCAGCTCCTTTCTGTCCCAGGTCAGACAAGGGCCGGCAGCACTGAGATCAAACAGTGCCAAAGGCTGAGCTCTGCACAGGAAACAGCAATGAAGGGGATTGTGCAGGGGATGTACAGGGGATCTGCAGCTCATGTCTCAGAGATTCAGCCTCAGATAAAAAAAAAAAAAAAAATTACCCCTGTCTGCTCGCCTGCACTCGTTTATTCTGTGCTTGTGGCTCTGAGAGCAGAGATCTGGTGTAAATTACTCGCACGACCTTTCCTGTTTGATGACTTTACAGCTGGCTGCACACACCTCAAACATAATTTCATTTATGCCATCCATCATTAACACCTGCTGGGCAGACTGGCAGCTCTTATCAGCAGTGACATTACTGGTGCTGCTGTCACCCAGGGCTGTGGCAGTGGCAGGACAGAGCACGGGCACACACAGGAGCTGGGGGGGCATCACTGCACTCACAGCCCTGGGCAGCACCTGGGCGAGGGCCTTGGGCATTATCAGTCAGATAATGTGATAGTATTGAGCACAATCCTTGTGTTGTCCTCCCCTTCTCATCCTTCACCCACGTCAGGATGAGCTCTGAGGCTCCTGCTGAGCGTGGCAGGGTGGAAATAATTTTTTCTAACTCCTTTTTTCCTGCCCTACAAGATCACCCTCCACGTGGCCGCTTGAAGGCCACCAGCTGAACTCCACTCTCCCAGCGACTTCTTGGTTATGATATCTTGCATTTCCACGTCCACAGCGGCCAAAAAAACACCCAGGGCAAGACCTGTTTCTCATCTGGAGATCCCCCACCTCACAGCCCCCTTCCCTAATACACCACATCCATGTTCTCACAATGCAGTGGAAACTGTGAGGAAGTTCCTATTAAATCCAACCTGTTTCATGTCACTGGTCTGTACAAGAGCCTCCAACAGTGCATTCTGTGGGCTAATCAGGCACGTGGTTTATTGCTTTCATTCCCTTCTCAGCTATGCTTAATTACACTTAATCATAATAATCATGGCCTCTGCCTTCCTACCTACAACCCACTTGCCCAGGAAAACAATCCTCTCCAATGGGCCTCTCTGCTTGTAAAGCCAAATTCCAGAGCTTCCTAGCGGGAGGAATGCAACCCCTTACATGGCTCCTCTGCTCCCAGAGGCTGGGGCTGCCTCTCTCCCCCTCTTTAGAAAGCTCCTCTCAGCGGTGAAGAACGGACAGACTTAATTCGGGCAACTATTCCATCCCCGCAGACAAAGGGAAAGAGCCGAAGCGCCGCTTAAGGAGCAATTATTTAAATGCCCCTTGCGAGAGCGGAGGGAAAAGCTGCGGAGCGCTCCTGCCGGCAGCCCCATCTCCCCGCAGCTCCCGAGAGCCGCATCCCAAACTCTCCTCTCGCACTCCTTATAAGTTCAGCGTTCAGAGACGCCTCGGAGCACAGCTGTCTGCATCTGCACCCAGCAGATCCCTGCCCGTTCATCATTCCCGGGTAAACACCGGGGAGAGGGGAATGGGACCGCAGGAAAAACAGAGCGCATCACCCGCGCTTCGCTCAGAGACCTCACGTTCAAAATTCAAGGGAAAGAGGGAGCAATCTCGCGGAGGAAAAGGCATCTCTGAGCATCTGTGCTGTCCCAAAAGTGTTTGGAAAGCCCATTAGGCTAATTTGACAAGAGGAAAGAAAACAAACCCGAAGCCGCCTACCACTCACTCGTCGCCCGCGCCACAAGGAGATGAGTTTATAAAAAGGATTAGGTGAATCATACCAAGACTAGCACTCCTAGTTTGCTTGCTGATGCTTAAAGAGAAAGGAATTATGGGCAAAATTCATCTCTTTGGTTCACACAGCCTTGAGCCACACACTGACCCACGCTAAGGTCTCCTCTGGCAGGGAAAGCACGGCAACATCCTGCATGTGGCGAGCCCAGGCACCAGCAGTCCTTTATCCCATTAGTTACTAGAAGATGCATGCACAGTTTTCACTCTGGTAATTTTGAGGCCCTTTGGAACACCCCCAGGAGCTTCCTGGCTCTTATTTTCAGAAAAAAAAAAAATCAGGTCCCTTTAAACATATCAAGCAGAAACCCCCAAATCTGAAGCTCCCAAACAGGACATCACTGAAGAGTCTTGGCACCCAGCTACAGACTAGACAGGCAGCTTAAAAAAAAAAAAAAGCCCTCATCTCATGTCTTTCAGTAGGAAAAAATTAAATGGGACAAATTTGTGCTGTGCAACAACTCACTTGCTGGACTGATGTGGCTGCTTTTTAAAGCACTTTGTGCTAAATGAATCTGGAGCAGCATCAGCCTCTCAGCAGGCAAAAGTTAAACCCAATGAACCAAAGGAATATTGCTAAATGCAAGTAAATCTCCTCTTCTTCTGCCCGTCAAAATGATTCAAGAGTCTCCTGATTAATTTTTCCATCAAGAAACCACATTAATTAACTATAAAATGGTTGGGGTTGGAAAGAATCTTGAAGATCATCCAATTCCACCCCCTGCCATGGGGCTGGACTTCCACTTGCCCAGGTTTCTCCAAGCCCCATCCAACCTGGCCTTGGACACTTCCAGGGATGGGGCAGCCACAGCTTCTCTGGGCAACCTGTGCCAGGGCCTCCCCACCCTCACAGGGAAGGATTTCTTCCCAGTATCCCATCTAACATTCCCCTCTTCCAGTTGGAAGCCATTCCCCCTTGTCCTGTCACCACAATAATAGCTGGAATATACCAGATGTGACAACAGGCCAGATTCCAGGATTCTGCCCCACGCTCTGGATCTTTGTGCTGGATTTTTTTTTTTTTATATCAACATCCCAGCACAATTCAGCCAGGCAGAAAGATGTGAACACAGCTTTGGTATCGGATTCCCAGCTCCTTAGCTGGCACCGACCAGGATTTCCCCTCCCAGTGCACTGTGCAGCTCAGACAGCAGAATTTGTGATACAATACCTTATCATGTTACATCAACAAGCATTACAGCATGGGAGATAAGCTTATTTTTTTTTAAACTGAGGTGCTGTGCCTGAGAAAATGCCACTCAGTCATGCAAAGTGACGCTGACTGTCCCGTGGGCTCAGCAGCAAGGGCAGACTGAACACAGAGACACACACATATATATGTATATATATTTATATTTATGTATATATATATATACACACATCATAAACATCTAAATGTCTGCATACATACATATATATATATACATATTTACTGTTTTCAGGTTGCAAACTTTTTAAAAATCAGATGTTTTCCATTCACCCACATGAAAGCAAGGGGGAAAAAAAAATCACTCTGTGCTGTCTGCAAACTCCCTGTGTGTAACACACATCGTTTAATCACACAGGTCGTAGCTCCAGACCTTTTACTGCAGCATGATTTCATCTTCAAACCATCCCAATATCCACTTGTGTACAGTAGGTTACCCATTTATAGGTTTCTAATAAAAGCAAATCTTCCCTAAGTGGCTATTACTGGATTTCTCCTTTCAGCCTGGGGATAAGCAGGATTCTGGGCTTTAAAAAGCTCTCCAGTGGGCTGAATAAGAAAGTGACAACTGAGGAATGTCATGGCAAAACTCTGGTGTGTTCTAATTACAGCCCTGTTAACGAGAGGAACATTTGTCAGACCGGGGCACTCGTCACGTTTAGCACAGACACACTGAAAGCATCTGCTCACAGAGTGAAAATTTTCTCTCCTCTCTCTAGTCCAGATGCCACAGGAGGTGGCATCTGGCAGCACAAGGTAAGTTCCACCAGCTGGAAATAATTAGTACCTTTTTTTTTCCCCCCCTCTTTTTAATCAAGGACTTTTAGGAATTTGCACACTCTATTGCTGAAGCAAATTAGGTATTTATTTTCTTTTAAAAACGACCCGAAATACAACTTTAGGAAATCTCTGCTCGTTACATTTAGATACATAACTTGAGACTGACTGACTGACTTCCAAAATGCTCCTTCACAGCGAGTCATACTCACATGCACCTTCAATGCTTTCCAACATTCCCCACCATATTACACCTCATCACGGTACTTGTAATAAAAAGGCTAACCTGTGAATTCTGCAGACATTTAGTACGAACATCTGCACTGTGTAAGAAACCCCGGATGGTCATTTGATTGCACCGGGACAGATGTTGGCTGCTAAAATGCTAAGGCACAGTGCTGTGTGTAGGGGTCTCTTGTACAACACAAACTGCCTGACCCACTGAGCCCCTCTGCAAGGATTTATTTGGATTAAAGTCACTGCTCCCTGTGAGTCCAGGACAATGTTCACCTCCCCACGGCTGCTCTGGGGAGCCACGGATGTCACACGGGACATTGGGGGTTACAGAACTGGGAGGGACCAATGAGTGGCATCTCAGAACATCAGGGCTCTCTAGTGGGATGTAGGAAGTGTATACATTTCCCAAAACCTTTGTTAAATTAATGAAGAAATGTTAATCAGGTGGTGTTTGTGACCTTCTGGCTCTCACAACTCCCTGACAGGAGGGGGAAGCTGTTGGGGGTCGGGCTCTGCTCCCAGGGAACAGGGACAGGAGGAGAGGGAACAGCCTCAGGCTGTGCCAGGGGAGGGTCAGGTGGGACATCAGGAGGAATTTCTTCCTGGAAAGGGCAGTCAGGCATTGGAAGGGGCTGCCCAGGAAGGTGCTGGAGTCCCCACCCCTGGAGGTGTCCAAGGAAGGCCTGGTCGTGGCACTCAGTGCCCTGGGGATCAGTCACAGGGTGGACTCGATGACCTTGGAGATCTTCTCCAACCCAAATGATCCTATGACTCTGTGAAGCATCAACATAAAAACACAATGTCCAATTTCCCAAACTGCCAGGTACCCACAGCTCTGAGTGCTCAACACACGCAAATCCCACTTTTTTTTTTGTTGAAGTCTCTGAGCCCAGTTTGTTGTGAACCCCAGCTGGGTGCTGCACACAAGTTCCACGGATCTTTCCATATTATTTTGGCTCTCCCCTTCCACAAGGGCATTAAACTTTGGCAGGCAGGGGATTTGTATCAATCATTTCAGCAGAGATCTCTGGGTGCAGCATCAGCCTTTTGCTTGTGTGCCTGGGATTAGCAAGACATTGCTGAGATCATCATGTATAGGTTTCACAGCCAGAACAGCTATTAGTATTAAACAAGAAAAAAAAAACTGCACTGAACAACCCTTTAAAAAGGACCCTGGGTTTGTTTCAGAGGTAGTTTTTTAAAGAGGCTGATCATTGCAAAGAATCTCTGCTGCTAAACTGCTGCTTAAGAAGTTTTCAGCTGCATTAAATCCCAACAGGCAAAAAGATTGTAAGCAACACACTCACCCTTTCACAAAAGTCACATTTAAATCTTTCCAATTAGTCTGCTGTGAATTTTTAGGTCCCTGGACAACCAGGATTCCCATTCAAGCTGGCTGGGAAGGATAAAAACCACTAGTGAGGAGTGCCTGTTGTACACACAAGATGTCAAGAATCGGGTCACTGCTGTCAAACAAACCCCACATTGAGCAGCTGCTGTGACTGAGACCAAGCCTGCAAAGAACTAAACCAGCCTGGGTGGGTGTTCCACAGGAAGAATTCCTCACTGTCCCACTGAATTCCAATAAAAACAGGCCTCTCCCTGCCACGTGGACAGGCAGGTACTATTTGGACCCTGTGTATCTGTCATTTGTGATGCTCATGCCCTGTCCCTCTTTTATATAAAAATATTCCTAAGCCCAACAGCTAAAACTGCAGGCAACAAACAGCATGTTATTCACACCACAGAGGCTCATGGGGCAGTAAAACATTGTAAGGAACATCTGACAACAAATTTGGGTGACTTTTAGAAATGCAATGCCTGTTTTGCTATAAACTCAGGCAATCTGCATGTTTTGTGCTAACTTCCAAGAAGAACATGACTGAAATTCCAGTGCTGGAGGATCAACAAGCCTGCAAAGCAAAGCTACCACAAAAATAATCAATGTTCTCTTAATCCATTTAGACAAGTTTAATTTTGGGTTACTTTAAACACGCTCAGCAGTGGCACAACTCATGAAAATGATGGACACTGGTGATTTTAGACCTCCCCAATGTTTAGCTCTCCAAAAAACAAGTGTGACTTTGAGGCTTGGCCATATCTGGTGAACACAGACACTGTGACCATGAGCACCCTTGATAAATGACAGTCCAGTGACACAGACTGTGGTCCCACCCTCCACCAATTCACAGGGAATTCAGCAAGTCCAGCATCACAGGGACAATTCCTCACCTCTCTCCCTGATTATCAGCTCACCTGGAGGGCTCTCCCAGTTTGGGAATGCTGTGTCACTCAATTCAGTGAAAGCAACTGCTTTACAAAGAAAGTGGGGATTAGGAATTGGAAACAACACCCCAGTGTTCTCAGCTATGTTCCCTGGGTTAGGGAAAAGTCCTCTCCAATCCAGCAAATATCTGCTGAGGCTGCTTCCTTTTCCTTCTCATCTGTAGAGACAAGAGCCCCAAAACCAGCAAGACACTTAACCATGTGTTTGATTTCCAAATATAGTAGTCCCAAGTAAGTAGATTCAGCCTTAAACACAACCCACAACAGGCACCTCGTGCAGTCAGGGCATGCTGAGCACCATTTCTAGATAAAAAGCCATGTTTTTGCCAGCTAATTACTTTATCTGCAGCTTTCCAGCACCAGCCTTAAGCGAGATTACTGTGTGAGCACCAGAGCTGCCACCTCAGGAGTTACCTCAGAGTCACTTCTTCCCAAAAGTCACAGGAGAATTCTTATTCTGCACGTGGCATTTTATAGACAAAATGGTTTAGAACCAGGACACTGCTGTGTGTTCCCAAGAGACCTGTTTGTACAGCTCCTAGCACACCAACACCCTGCTCCTTTTGCCAGGCTCCATCCCTTTATGGTCTCTGTATAAACTGCTTTTAGGCATCCTTCCTATCAAGCTATTGCTCCTGAAAGGTTCATTTCCCCTCACCCACCAGGTACATTTTGTTAAAAAAAAAAAAAAATGAAAAGGGCAGAGGAGGAAGAATATTTCAGGCTTCTGAAAATGTGCCAAATCCATTAGAGATTCTACTAAAAATCGCTGCTGTCTTCTGCCACTTCCCCACAAAATGCAGTTCCCTGGTTCTCCATTCAAATAAAACTTCACTCAGCCAAGCAAAATAAAAAATACCAGCCAATGTGTTATGATGAAGTGACCCATGAACATGCCATACATGCTGGTAGCTGCACAGAGAAAAGCTAGACTGTTATTTTAATATTATTACTAAGCTTATTGAATTGACACTTGGAAAACAAAACAACTCAGAAAAGCTACGTACACGACAACCTCAGTTTAAGCTCCTGGGAACCTCAGTTTGAAGTCCTGGGAAGTTTGGAGCTTTGCCTCTGTCTTTTTGCCTTTTCCTAAAGGCCTCCACCCAGCATTTCCCCAGTGCTAAATTAACCCCAGAGAGGACAGAATGCAGCCCCATCTCCTCAGAGAGGGAGCGTCTCCTCTTCAACATGTGCCCACCTGATCTTAAAAATCACCCTGGCCACCCCTGTGACTGCATCCTGAGAGCCTCCTCGTTTTAACATTCAAAACCTGCTACAGAGAAACTCATTCAGTTCAAAACCTCCCCTTCATAAAAGCTCTGAACTGCATGTAAAATTGTGTTCAGACACCTGGCAAGGGATCAGATGATTTTGGTGATGGACTCAGGCCATGAGGCTGCAAGAATGAACCACCCCAACAAGCTGTGCTGTTGTCATGACAGGTCACACCACCCTGTCATGTTCTTGGAAGATAAAGGAAGAAGAAATACAAGCTCGTGGATTTCAAGAATGAGAAAATGTAGGCACCCAAAGGCCTGAAGGAATGCAATTAAAACTAAAGCAGCTCTTCCCATAAAATCTTTTCCTTTGGATCCACCAGTTCTTGCACCTTCTCAGTCTTTCCTGTGTTATGTTTTCACAGATTTTTTTTTTTTAGATTTCAGAGCACACTTCCAAATATTACATGTGTTTTCCCCCACCCCCTCATTTTCTAGTCACAATCCCAGGCCTTAAAAACTTTTACTTGTCTGACAGGAGTGGCACGTTTGCATTTTATTAAAAGAGCTTCACGTAATTCAATGGAATTCACTCTACACAAAAAGATAATTTTTTTTTAAATGACCAAAATTTCAAACATCTATATATAAACCAGCTCTTAAAAGTTCAACATTTTTGTTTTAGGAACAACACTGGAAAAACAAAAGACACACACCTGGCAGAACTGATGAATGAAATCTGAGCTCCAAAGAAACATAATTGCATCATTAGCCCTGAACAAACTGGCTCACACTTGGGAGGGACCAGGCCTAATCTGGAATTCTTGTGATGGACCAGCCCTGATCTCGAATTCCCCTACAATTTCCACACACTTTTATGGGAAACAGCAAGTGTTACAGAAATTCATAGTTTTATTTAGCTATTTCTTGTGTTTCGTGGCATTTCTACGCTCCTTTGAAATTTTATCATCCAAGTGTTTTCTTTTCCAACCACAAATTCCTTTTTTGGTATCTACATCCCATGGCAGTTTTTTAAAATCTCAGGATAGATAAGGGAAAAGCAGTGCAGAGAAATAAAACCCTTAAAACTTAAGCCATTTGCAAGTTCCCAATGCATTGCATTAACGCACTTGTGCTTTTGACAAGAGATGTAAAAACTTTCTCTGGAATAAAAAGAGTTCAGTTGAAGATAACTGAAAATATTTCAAATCAAGTTCCCTTTCTGTCTTAAGCAAGAGAGTCTGTTAAACCATGATAAGAAATAGTTTGATTTCTAAAACAACATTTTTAAACAGCACATCTGCCACGGTGTCCTTGCACCCACCAGCTGAGCTGACCTCCCCAGAAATGGAATATCCCCCACAGTGTGAGTGAAGCAACTGGACAAAAGTTAGCCCTTTAAATGTGAACATTTTGACTGATCTTTGAAAGTTCAGGACGTAGCCTCTAATAAAAAGTAACTCCATTAAAAAAAAAACCTCTGCATTTAATTTCCTTGCACATCGTGAACGGACAGGCAGGACACGAGGGGTGTATTCCGGGATTCCAGCACTCCCCACTAGCTGACCAGTTTGGGGAGCACGGAACAGAGAGGAATATTGCTACCAGAGTCAGATCCCAAATTAGCCCTCAGCTTGCTGGCTCCTCCAACCACGGAAGGCAGCCTGGAACCCGTCCCTTGGAAAGAACTTGTGTAGCTAGGGACCCTTCTGGCGGTGGTTCTGTCCGCAGGGGGCGGTTTGGGCACTCGTTTACAAATCCAAGGGTGCCTCAGCGCTTGGCCCGGGGTCATGCGCGCCGCAGGATCCCAGCTCAGGCATTCCTTCAGGAAGTCTATAAACAAGGGGTCATCGCAGCCCTTCAGTGCTGTCACCCAGTCCTTGTTCCCCGGAGCTTCCCGGACTTTCCCCCGGCGCGAGCGGCTCCCGTTCAGGGTCACTTTGCCGTCCGCGTGCGTCGTCACGGTGCAGTAACGAGGGTGACCCTTGGAGTTGATGAAGTTCTTGGCTCGCTTGGACTGATCCAAGAGCTTCTGGGGTGGCATTCCGAGAAGTTCCATCATACAGGCCAGCTGGTCCGCCTCATCCTCTCCAGGAAAAAGAGGGTATCCAGTCAAAAGCTCCACCAGGATGCAGCCAAAACTCCACATGTCTATGGGCAGGCCGTAGCGGCTTCCCAGGATCACCTCTGGCGCCCGATAGAATCGAGACTGGATGTACGTGTAGACTCTTTGGTGCTCAAAACAGCTGGACCCAAAATCTATAACCTTGATTCCACTCCTCCCGTACTGTTTCAGGAGGATGTTTTCTGGCTTCAAGTCACAGTGGATGATTCTGTTCCTGTAAAGAGCAGCCAAACACTGCAGGATGGAGTAAGCAAACTTCCGCACCAGCTGGAGACCAAAGCCCTGAAACTTATTCCTCTTAATCAGCTCATACAGGTTCACACTCAAGAGCTCGAAGGTCATACAGATGTGGTTCCTAAAGGTGAAGCTTTCCAGCATGTGGATAACATTCATACTGTCTGTTTTATCCTGCTTCTTCAGGTGCTCCAGGATCCGGATCTCCTCTGCCGCTTGGCGATGGAACCTCTTCTCGTTGCGGACCATCTTTAAGGCCAAGTGTTGGTGGAGTTTGTGATCGTACACTTTGGCAACTTGTCCAAAACTGCCCTTGCCAATGATTTTGAGCACTTCATACCTGTAGGCAAGGTGGTCATGGGGCACGTGGATGTAGCTGCCTTGGTCGTCATCGTAGCCGCCGTTGTTGGGGCCGCCGATGACTCCTTGTCTCTTTTTTGCAGCTGGACCCACAAAGTAAATCTCAGAAAAATTAAATATCTCTTGCTGCTCATAAGCAGATAGCTGGTGCCTGTACTGTTTGACAGCTTGCTCCGGAGCTTGGGAAAGGCATTTCAGTCCTCTGCCACCAGTTTTAGAAGAGCTTATGTTGTCTAGGATTTTATCTTTTGACAAGGAAGGGAGAGGTCTTTCTAAACCAGAAACTCCTGCACACTGAAGAGAACTGCTCCTTTTGTTGCCAGAGTCCTCAAATAACTGCTCCACTTTGACCTGATTTCCAGGCAGAGAGTGATCCTTCATCATGAGTTTGTTGATGGAAACCTACAGATAGAGAAAAATAAAGGACTTTAGTTTATCTTTTAAAGAACAGACTAAGAACGAGAGCAATACCAACATAAAACAAAATCACTAACACCAATGGCTTTGGCATTTATGAGGGACAAATATAAAATGCTGGATCAAACTAATTTAAGTTACAAGCACAGTTATAAAAAGGTACAACAAAGAGAAAGCAACTCACTGAAACAGCACTTGCACAGACGCAACGTGCTTTTAAATCCATAAAGGGAAACCCTAGACAGCCAAACACTCAAAAAGGACACAATACCTATCTCTAGTCAGCAAACTGCCAGGGAACAGCTATGTTTAGCTTTAAACGTGGGTGCAGCGACACAACCAACGACAGATGCAACTTGCACCTGTCTGGAACACGCAGCGTAATGCGAACGTGCAGAGAAGTGGCAGGAATACCACCCAGACAAGATGCCAAAGGAAGACAAAGAAACACACCAGCAGGTGACATATGGCTGGTGTGCCCCAGCTGAGCGAGGAGCAGAAGGATGACAGGGCAAGACAAGGTAAACCACCCTTCTAAAAAAACCCAAGCAAACATGTTTTCTCTTTGAAGGGTAAAACACCGTTGTATCCACTGCATGGTAGAATCACAAAAATCCTGAGCTGGAAGGAACTCACAAGGATCATCCAGTCCAACTCCTGGCCCTGCACAGGATACCCCAAAATCCCACCCTGTCCCTGAGAGCGTTGTCAAACCCTCCTGGAGCTCTGACAGCCTTGGGGCTGTGCCCACTGCCCTGGGGAGCCTGTTCAGTGCCCAACCACTCTCTGGGGGAAGAACCTTGCCCTGAGATCCAACCTGACCCTGCCCTGACACAGCTCCAGCTGCTCCCTTGGGTCCTGTGTGGTCACCACAGAGAAGAGAGATCTGCACAACTATCTTAGGACAGACTTAGAAGCTTTGAATAATTGAGACGATCTCCTACTCACACTCAGCTGACACAGGCTGTAACCACTGCCTCTGACTGCCTTGTGCTAAAATATTTACCTCTGAAACGAACACACAGAAGGTGAGAAAAACACTGTGAAATTTTTCAAGCTTGTCCTTTTTGCAGTTTAGTAAATGCTGCACTCCCCAGAGGTCAGTTCCCTACTAGCACAGCAGTTATTCCCCTTTCTGCTCACTGACACCCCATGCTGATGGACAGCACAGAGGTGTTGTCTCATCCCATGCAGCACTGAGGAAGCCCTGACTGCAGTGGTAACATCTGTTTTCCATTTTGCCCTTTAATCTAAAAATAAAGATTTCAGACACATGCCAAACCGAATCCCCTGAAAACCAAAATAACTATACAGGAATCAAACAAAAAATATAAATAAACCTGTAGCCCCACAGCAATAAAACCAAATTCCTTTTTAGCTAAACCCAGTCCAACATCTTGGCTTGGTCAGTAAATAAGGGAAGTGAATGTTCTCGCCAAAAACAACTACACACGTCTCTTAAAAGGGTCTGTTTGTTGGTGCTGCCTTCAAATGTTAATTCTTGCCCACCAGCCCCCCAAAAATGGGCATTTCCTGAAGAAGTCAGTCCTTATCGACGGTGACGAGGGGCCAGTGGATATATCCTACTAAGTTCCACTCCTCTGGGTCCTATCAACCCAAAAATGCAGTGTACTGGAGAGACACGCCTCTGCACAGAGTCTGAGGCAAAACCAACAAAGCCCAGCCCTGGTAATTTCGAATAAACGCCTTTTTCTTGGAGCCTGGCTGACCCTCTGAGATAAGAATGACTTTTTTTTTTCAGAGCTGGCTAAAAAGACTATCCAGTCCAGCAGACCCAAACAGTAAGTTTACAAATAAACAGAAAATATAAACACAGAGCTCGGTTCACATTTGTTTTAATATTCCCTACTCGGGAGCAACAGCAACTCTGCTCGTGCTGCTGTTCATAGCAAACATTCTGTACCTTTGAATCCCTAAATAACCAAGGAATTCATTATTCCATTTATCCTGGAACGATTTCTTAATGAAGGAACCGTGGCTTTGGATTTCAAACCCTGACTTGACAGTAGTAAGGTCTCAATTTTCATTCTTAGATGACTCCCAAAATCATTTGCCACATGATGGTGAGACACAAATATAGATCCATCTTCACTTGAACCCAGACGAGCTGCGCTCAGAGTCACATGACTTCTGGCTAACACCAGCTTGCTCTCAACAGCTTTATTTTACAAACCACAGCTTTTGTTTTATTGGTAAAGCACTATCAGCAGGCAAGAAATAAGGCTGACAACAACTCAAAACTCTCACTTAGAAAACTTCACTTTCACTGACAAAGGAACAGTCCAATTCCTACACAAGTGGCTTTGCAAAAGTGCATCAGGTATTTTCTGAACACTGAATTTAACAGGCTTCGTTCAACCCATGTATTCTCCAAGCAGAGAGAATTATGTTTTCCTACAGCTCAGATGGAGGAATGGGCAGCTGCAGTCACCAGGACTCAATTCTCACATAACATTACATCCTAACAGAAAAATCTCGCAAGGAAACTAAATATCACTTAAATCCAGATACTTCCCCATTAAAATTGAGTATCATCCCTGCATGCTGTGCATGATCAGTTCCTGCTTGCATGATACCACCGAGGTTGTATTGTATTTATGTATCATCATGCAAAACTGGGCGTGTTATAAATCCTTAATCTTGCCTTAAGAAGTTAACAGGCTTCAGGGTCAAAATAACAGATGAAGATAAGATACACCAGTCAAACAAAATACTCCTGGAGTTATATTTGTATTTAACTGGAGAGTTCCATTCTACTGACTTTTGTTCAGTAATGAACAACTGAAGTTACACTACAATTTAAAACACTGCAATGTTTCCATATCCCTGCAAACAAAAAAAAAACCCCAACCAACTACTCTTCAAACTCTCCTGCTCAACAAAACTCTAAATTCCTTCTGCTCTCTCTCAACATTGCCAAAAAGGGAAAACACAGACCCATGCCCGAGTTTGCACAGACCAAATTCATTACTAATACCTGTTACCATAAAATCCCACAAGGTGATGATTTCCAAATGCATCTTACTCAGGGAAATGTCTATTTTCACTTTTTAGAGAGTGAGACTTCTTTAAGCTCAAGCTCCTTCCCTTCTGCCAGAACTGAACAAGAGCCAAAACACATTAAAAACCCATCTAAAAGACAGATCAGTGTACAAAAGTACAGCTAAACATGACCACTACTGCTCAGCTGAATCAATCTAAGGAAAGATCTCCCAGTTCCACAACTGCTGAGGGAACACAGCCCTTGTGAAGAAGCCTGTTAACACCTTCAGTCCATAAAGTGCTATTTTGGTAGCAGACGAAGTGACAGATAATGCCCAAGTTTTCAGAGGAGAAAGATACTTTTGTGAGATGTTTGGCAGCCATGCAAACCCACACTGCTCCTTCTGCTGTTCCTAAGTACTTACCCGTTGGAATTTTCATGAGGGAAACTAAAATGGAAACGTGCAGGAGGTAAAGCAAAGTGTGTGTGGATTGACTTATCAGTACAAGGTGACATGGCAGAACACTTCAACCCTTTGTAAAGCAACTTTTTTTGATTAAAACACAAGCTGAGGACACTAAGATGGGATTCCTGAGGCTGCCAGCAAGTTCTGCAGTGAACACAGCACATCATTTTTATGCTTAGTGAACACAGTAATGTTAATAAGCTACTACAAAGCTGCAAAATCCCACTTTTTTTTTCTCTGTAGGCAGATATCTCACTCCTGGACAGTTCTCACTGCCACACAACACCATGTGAAGACACAGATGATTTTAAAATACTCACTTGAGGTCTTGGAAGGGAAGCGGGTCCAGAGGCGCTGCGTTCTTCATTTGAAGGCTCTTGATATCTTAAATCATCTATCCTCATATAGGAGTCATATAATCCATCTCCAAACCTGCCTGGAAATGTCCCATATACAAACCAGTTAGTCACAACCACTCACATTGATAAGGGACAGACTCAAACACTCAAATTTATCTCCCTTACCACCTTTTAATCTGTAAAATCATCGATTCTCATTCATTTATTAAACGACCTTCCGAATTTAACTCTATTTTAACACCACAACAGAGCGAGAAGCTCTTGGGCCACCCCGACGTGCACGACACTTTCCAATTTAGAGCTCCTCTTTTGTTAACCAAGTTCTGCACTGCAAAGACATCCTTGAGAAAGCCCGAAAACGAACGCCACGCTCCCTTTGCAGGGGCATTAAAACCACCACGCTCCCCATGTTTAAGCAGGGTAATCCCAAGCGAGCGGAAAACGGGCAAACCACCGGATAGCGGGCTATCCTTTTTAAAGCAGGTTATCCTCTTAAAAAAAAAAATAAAATAAAAAAGAAAATGAAGAGAGATGTGCGAATTACACTTGGGGGTGGCAGGGTTGGGGGGTGGAAGGGGGAAGGAGGGGAGAAGGCGAACGGGCGGAACCACGCGGGGCTCCCCCGATCCGCAGCCTCCCAACCCGCCGCCACCGACCCCTCCCGGCCGCCTCACCCGCTCCGAGCGGCCCCTCCAGCTTCCTGCCGAGCAGCATCGTGTCCGGGGACCCCGGCCCCGGCCCCATCCCCGGCGGGTCCCGCTGCCCAGCGCCGCCGCCCCGGCCCCGGCCCCGGCCTCGGCCCGGCCCGGCCCGGCCGGCCGTTGCCCCGGGAACGGCCCCCGCCCGCCGCCCGCCCGCGCCTGCGCAGCGCGGCCGGGGCGGGTTCCACTCGCACCCAAAATCTGCCGAGTTTCGCCTCCCGCTCCTCTCCCCACCCTCAAATCCTCCCCGCATCACCGGGCAGAGAAATCCTGCGAGGCGCGGGCAGCCCTGGGTGTAGCGGGTTTGGTTGCGCCGAGGCCGGTGAAGTTTCCCCAGTGCGGCGTTGTGGGGGGATCTCGTTCTGGGGGTTTGTCGGGGTTGGAGTCGCTGCTCCCGCTGCGAGTCCCAGGGCAGTGTTCGCTTAATCCGCGGATTTCACGCGGTGCAGAACGGGAACCCCTGCGTTTCGCGTGGGAGTTACAGAACGGGGAGGTAGCAGTGGCACTTTACGACATCAGGGCTCTCTTACAAGTGTATATAATGTATGGAGTGTGTTATAAGTTAGTATAAGAATTTAGACAACTCAATTCCAATTAAACATTGATAAATTTATTAAGCAAGCGATAATAAAGCAAAACAGCGCTGGGTGGCCTGGAGGGCAAGTGCCCTGCCGAGACACACACCAAAATGTAGTAAATGTTCCTTTTTATACATTTCCAAGTCCCGAGTTTTTACTGCGGCTGTGTTGAGGCTTCAGTTTGTAGCTCATTTTTAAGTGGTCATCTGGTATTTGTCAGAGATGAAAGGTGCAGTTTCTTATCAGTTGTAAATTTTACTGATACTGATACTTGTTTGTTTAGCAAGATGTCTGCAATTATTTTTACTGATACTTGCTTGATTAATAGGATGTCCATGAAACTTATCTTGTTGAATTATAACAAAAATTCCTTATTCCTTCATACACATAAGATTTTATGAACAAAGTTAACCCTTCTATTACAGAGTGTATATACTTCACCAAGCCTTTATTAAATTAATAAATAATAATAATAAAGTGGGGGGTGTGACCTTCTCACTTTTTATAACTCCCTGACAGGAGGGTGGAACCGAGGCGGGGGGAAGTCAGGCTCTGCTCCCAGGGAACGAGGGACAGGACAAGAGGAAAGACCCGCAAGTTGTGCCCGGGGAGGTTTAGGTTGGATATTTGGGAAAAATTCTCCCTGGAAAGGGCGGTCAGGCATTGGAAGGGGCTGCCCAGGGAGGTGGTGGAGTCCCCATCCCTGGAGGTGTCCGAGGAAGGACTGGACGTGTCACTCAGTGCTCTGGGCTGGGGGACAGGGTGGGCATCGGGCACAGGGTGGGCTCGGTGATCCTTGAGATCTTTTCCAGCCTCAGTGTCTCTGCGATCCCGCGAAGGCTGTAGCGCTCTAACACCCCTCCACGCTCCTCAACCTCGCGCTGGAAATCAATCAATCAATCAATCAGTCAATCAATCGCTGACAGTCCAGCAAATCGCAGCGAGAAAACGGCCCAACTGTTAAAAAGAGCACCTTACACAGAAAACAGCTTGGAAGTTTCAGAACAAAACAACACAACCCTTCCCCTCCGCCACCCCACCGAATCTCCGAGCAGCAGCGCCGCGGGCTCGGGACCCATTTCGTGTGGGGGGCTCCGCCTGGGGAACGGGGCGCCGGGGACCCCCGTTCCCCTCACGGTGCCGGGGCGAGCCGGGAGGGCTCTGCGGGGCCGCTCGGGAGCCCGGAGCCGTTTCCAGCCGGACGGTTTTGTGGGCGCGGACGGCGCCATGGCGGCCGCCGCGGGCTGAGGGGGGACGGGCCCGCCATGTTCGCCCGGGCGTTCCGCGTGAGGGCCAACACCGCCATCAAGGGCTCCGACCGGTGAGTGCCGCGCCGGGACCCCCCGGGCAAGGCGCGGGGAGCGGGCCCGGGGCTCGGGGGCTGCCCCCCCCTCCCTCCGGTAGTCGCTGCTTTCGCCTCCCTGATCGCGGTGAACTCCCGGCCGGGGATGGTGCGTTTCGCTTGGAGGTGGTGCCGTGATTAAAGCAGGTTTAATCGAGTTTAATCGGGTTGTTACGGTTGGATGAGGCTTCTGTGCTTGTTTATGGCGGCTTTTTGTACATACAGAGGGCTGCAAGGGAGCTGGGGAGGGGCTTTGGGTTAGGGCATGGAGAGACAGGACAAGGGGCAATGAATTTAAGCGGAAGGAGAGTAGAATTAGATAGGATATTGGGAAGAAATCGTTCCCTGTGAGGGTGGGCAGGCCCTGGCACAGGTTGGGCAGAGAAGCTGTGGCTGCCCCATCCCTGGAAGTGTCCCAGGCCAGGTTGGATGGGGCTTGGGGCAACCTGGGCAAGTGGGAGGTGTCCCTGCCCATGGCAGGGGGTGGAAAGATGGTCTTTAAAGGTCCCTTCCAACCCAAACCATTCTGGGATTCTATAATTCTGCTTTATGTTCCTGAGCAGCGATGCTGAGCTGACTTACTGATGGCTCAGATTCACTTGACAGTTCTGTGAGTGACCACAGAAACCCACCCTGTGCCGGTCATACAGTCTTGAAATCCAATTAAACACCAATTAAAACTGGGAGACAGGGAATCTGGCTGCCCCCTGCTCCCCCTGTGGCCCTGGGTGATGGCGCTGAGCAAGTGGGACACTCCCAGGGTTTGTGCTCAGGAGCTCAGAGTAATGAAATCACAGCACAAAACAGAGGCAGAGACAGCAAACAGGAGCTGTAAGCAGATGTTTAAGGAAGATATGAGCAAAGCAAGTATATTGGGCCTTTTTTCTGTATTCCTCCACCATGCAGCTACCTCATTTGTAAACCTGGAAACAAATGCCTCCAATTATCATCTGTGAAAAGGTGGGAATCTCAGGAACAACCAGCAAACGATAACTACTGATCTAGGAATTATTCTGAGGGCCTAGAACAGCTTTGTGACACATTTGTGGTTTCATCATTGCAGGAGAAAGCTACGAAGTGATGTTGCAGCAGCTTTTCCCAGCCTTACTGCTGAACAACTGGCTGAGTTTATTCCGAACAAGGAAGAGCTCAATGTCATCAAAATATACTCTCACAAAGGGGAGGCCGTCACTGTTTACATGAATCACAGGAACCCAATACTGTTTGAAGTGGAGAAAGCTCTGTATCCAACAGGTATGGGGAGGGAACTCAAATAATCCTCCCTCTTTATTTACCTTTCTCCATGGCATCTAATAATTATTGTAGGGTTATTCTAACTTCAGATTTCCTGATTTTTTTTTTTTTTGAAATTCGATTCTGTTTTGGGACAGTTTACTCTCTGTGGGTCTACCCAGATCTTCTCCCTGCCTTTTCAACATGGCCCCCCGTGCTACAGAAACTTGCAGGAGGAGCAGGTAAGAGAACCAGAACTTTGTCGCTTTGCACTGCAAAAAGGAGTTGCCTTCAGGGTTTTCTTTGGTGTTGTCTTTCCCAGTGGCAAAAATGTACCTGAAACAAGTATAAAGAATTAAGTACTCGAAAGTAATTCGTGGTGGTGTCCTAAAAAGGAAAATAACTTAGCTGTAAAATAAAGTTTGTGAATGAGACACAGCAGGTTAAGCTGTTTAAATGCAGTGACCTGTTCCACGTGGGAGTCTCAGATTCGGAAATACCTTCTCAGGGTGATGAGCAGCTCTGAAATGGGACACAGAGCTGCCAGTGCCATCAGTCTGTCTCTTTTACAACTTCCCCTGAGCAGCTGAGTTCCTTTGCTCCCACCCTGCTTCCTGTCAGTTCTGAGGTGAACTAACTTTCCCTGTGGATAAGAAGTGAGTTTATATTGGAACCTGCAGTTGCAAGCAGTGTCAGGCAAATTGTGGACTGTGCAGGTGAGGTTTGAGTTGAATTCCTGGGCTGCTGGCTCTGCCACCTCATTATGGATCAAGACTAACAAGAAAGGAGTCTGTTTTCTGGGCCCTGCTTTGGATGCAGTTCAGCCTCAGGAGAATCAGGTCATTATAAACTTTAAACTGCTGAACTGCTCAAGCAGAAAAAGATTAAATTGTAGCTGCTGCAGCCTTGTTCTGTACCTGGGAGTGTTGATGTAGGAAGAGATGTCTTTTTCCATGACACAGTGTCTGAAGTACGACTCAGGTCCCTTTGTTTGCTTTTTGGGAAAATGAAGTGCTTGAATGTGGGGCTGTGATAGACATCTGAGCAAGCCTGGCCGCTGACTTGTAATGACCCAGTTTCTGGGGGAAAAAAAAAAAAAAAAAAAAAAGACCTACTAATGGGGGAAGGACGTTGATGAAAGGGCTATGGGTCATTCATCGCCCGTGGCAACCAGGCTACCTCTGGGTAGGATCCAAAGATAAGAAGCTGGCCAGGAGACAATGGCCACAAAGGCAGGGGGAGAGGTAGAGCCACTTCTGGGAAGGGAGAGGAAAGACATGAGCAGTTCTGCAGACTTGGAGGGGGGGAGCAGATTTAGGGAGTGTTCAGTTAAAAAGAGAAGCATATTAGTGCTTTTTGTGGCATCTCTTCCGTGAATTCCAATATCTCCCATCTGCCCTGGTTATTACATAATTTAATGCTACTTAACCTGGTCACATTTAGGTCTTTATGTGGTTTCTGTCCTCAGCAATGTGGAGCTTTGGTTGCAGCTGCAGAGTTCATTCTAGATTTGCTGAAAGTATTTGTGAGAGTGAAGGGGGGAGAAAAATCTTGTTGGCTTCTTTAGCATACCCATTAAATGTGGGATGCTGAGGAAGAATGGGTGAGATGCCTTCAAAAGCAGACTGTGGAACCACAGGTCAGTCCAGGAGACTGCAAAGAGCTGCTGTGAGGGAGAGCAGGTGCTCTTTGCACAGTTTGGTGATGGCATCATGCCATACCTGCAGCATGGAAAACTGTCCTTTACTCACCTGCCAGGCTGTTCCTCCCAGGTGAAGGAGGCAGGTCTGCAGTTTCTGTCCAGATCAGCAAGGAGATGGTGAGGGCATCTTCCTGAGAATGCCCAGCTGTTGTGTCAGATCCAGGAGGGCTGGGGCAGCAGTGGCAAACCTTGGGCAATTTTCTCTTCATGGAGAGAGCTGCTGGGATAACCTGCCCTTGGCACAGGGGACAGTAAATGGGTAGTTCCAGACACATCTCCTTGTTCCCTTCTCTTTCCATGTCGTTAATGAGGAGTGATGCTCTCTAGGCTTGGATCTCCTACTTTCTGTTCAAAGCAGTCCTCAGGCCTGAGCAAGCTCAGCTGTTCTGCAATTTTTTGGGATGTGCCCAGCACCCTTATGAATTGGATCCCTTACTACCCAGGGAAGAAGTGCTGCCTTACTAGCAGAAATGGAGAAGGAGGTTTTCTCAGCCATGTGCTCAGCTGAGAACAGGCTCTTGTGTTTCTGCTGAGCAGCAGCAGGGGTGGGGGTGGAGGAGGTGGTGGCTGAGTCTTTCATTGAGAAATGGATGCGCTTCACTCTTCCCTCAGATCTGATGCTGCCGGGAGTTGTGGTGCCATCTTCTGGCCTCCCTCAAGTGGAGCAAGGCACACTCTGTGCTGTCACCCTCCTGGGAAACAGGTACAGAGGATTCTTTGTCTCTCATCCTTTTTAGAAAGTAAAAATTAAAACTATTTCTTTTTTTTAAACAGGAAGCCTCTGGGGTTTTTGAGGACATCAAAGCAGAATTGTTCCCATGCATTTGATGCACTGTGGACTTAAATCCACTTAATTTTCTGGGTTAGGATATGTTTGAGCTGAGATGGACAGCTTTGTAAATTTGTTCTTTTGGACCTATGGGGGCATGACTGGCAGAGTTGTTTCGAAACAGAGCAATTTTTTTTGCAAAATATTGGATTCTACACAATTGTCTTTTTTCTCTGTCAGGAAATTCTGAGTGAGGGAGCAGTGCTAAAGCTGTTGTTTTTCTCCTCATTGCTACTCTCTTTTGGCAGTGCTTGTACTTCTGGTAATTTATTAGAAGGAAGAATCTGTCCCTGCACAACCTTCACTTCACTCCAGCTGCACATATCCTTGGGATTCTTTGGAAAACTTTACACAGCAGAAAGATAACCATAAACTACATAGATGCTTAAAAAAAACACCAGGTTCTAAAGAGGCAGGATGTTGGAAAAGAAATTCAGTGTATCCCAGTGGCACGGCCTGCCCAACAGCACAGTGTGTTCGTGGTCCTGCTCTAACACTCCCTTCTTTTCCCAGAGCTCCAGTGGCAGTTGCAGTTGCCACCATGTCCACTGCAGAAATGCTGGCTGCTGGAATGAAGGGGAAGGGCTTTGCTGTGCTGCACACTTACCTGGATCACCTCTGGTGGGTACCTTGCCAGGCCTTTGGGAAAATGGGTAACAAGCCTCACTGCTCACTAAAATCAAAATCCCAGTAAGACTGATCGGGTCGACTTACTGAGTTATTTGGCTACAGCTTAGATATGACCATAATTAAGGTTTCAGCTACTTGATTTTACTGACCACAGTGCAGCTGCCAGTGCCTTCTTTTCTCAGGGTGACATTTGTTCATTGTCCTGTGGGTTTCAAAGCTGTGTTATGCTTTTTCTTCCTTTTATAGGGAATATGGTGACAAATCTTATCCTCCTACCTTAGCTCCCTTGGTCCCAGACTGTGCTGCAGAGGAGGGGGCTGGAGATGAGGAAGAGCAGGAGGGGGAAGAGCCTGTCAACAGCATCCCCCCTGACCCAGTGCAGCACGTGGACATCGGGGATTTGAGCCTGAAGGAGCAAGACAGTTGTGCAGAACTGCTGGGAAAGGAGGAATTCCACGAGAACAGAGCTGCAGAACCAGCTGAAAATGCCAGCACAGAGGATCAGCAGCAACCTGAAGACAGCAGGACTCCACAAGGTAATTTTGCCCACCAGTGAAAGCAGATTGTGCCCCTTTGGTTTGCTGAAGCCCACAGACAACTCACAGCCTATTTGTCCTTTTTTTTTGCCCTGCAGAGCAAATGGATGCTTTATTTAATCAGTGCTTTTTTCATGCCTTAAAATGCAAGGTGAAGAAGTCAGATCTCCCTCTGCTCACCAGCACGTTCCTACGGAGCCACATGTTCTCCTGCTGGTACGTGGTGCAAGGATTGTCTTGGGATTTGCATGCTGGGATTTGGGCTTTAAAACATGGAGATTGATATTTAGGATGAAGTTTTTGGCTCAAAAGTAAAATCTAGTCCATATCTAAGATGATCTGAGATTATGCTCACTTCTGACATCAAATGCTTTGACCAAATATAATCCTTACATCAAATACTTGGATGTAAGGATTGTCCAGACCTGGATCTGCACTTGAGCTGGCTGACACTTGTTTCAAGATGGTTTATTCACCTGAATGGCTGTTTACCTGCCCACAAGAACATCAGCACTAGTAGTTTCGCTCATCATATTCTATTTATTAGCTTCTTAAGTAATTCTTTCTCTGTGTGATTTGTATTTCCACTGCTAAGAAACTTCTAGCCTAAGTAGCAAGATTTAAGAAGAAATGAAGGGTGACTTATAACTAAAGAACTTTTTAAAAAATCCATTTGTAGCCCTGCTGGACAACAACTGGACATAAAGAAATCAAGCTACAAGAAGGTGAGATTTTTCTGATGGGTTTATTTTTTTTCCTCAGTAATTTAAATAAGAAACAGAAGGAAAGAAAAAGTTTGAAGTCCAGAATTGTTCAAGTGTTAGCAAAACATACAAACCAAGAAAACCCTAGAAGCTCTTCTTAAAAGCCAGGGTTTTTTTCTCAGCTCTCTGCTCCTGTGGGATTCAGGGGGAAAAGTAATTGGCCTGAAAGCATGAGGATGGATCTGCTAGGAATGCACTAATGCTCTCTGCCACAGTGTACTGAGACCAACCAAAGGAACATTTGCTTTTGCTCTGGCACTCACTGCTCCTTAGCAATTGCTGTGTGTAGAGAAGCAAAGGTGTGGGATGTGGGTTTGTTTTCTTTAAAAGAAATTTTTCAGATTTAGCAAGTAACTTTAGGGTAGTCAGAAACACATGAACAGCAATTTAAAATGCTTGACTCCACATTTCTCATGCTTGCTTCCTTCAGTTCTCTAAATTCCTGCAGTCCATGCAGAACCAGAAGATCTTGCAAGTGAAGGAGCTGAACAAAGGTGTGGAGAGCATTGTGGAAGTGGACTGGAAACACCCAGAGTACGTAGAATATCCCAGTCTTTAAACAAGTTGGTAGTCTCTGAAATAAGGGAGTGGAATCTGCTGCTTCCAGCTCTACTTCCTATACTCTGCTTGGACTCCTGAATAGCTGTAGAGCCCTCATTTCCTGATTTTAATGTGCTCTAGAGGGGTTTGATACCCTCTTTCTGTACGTAATTTCTTCTGTTTCCTGCTCTTGTAAAGTTCTCCCAGGTTAACTGTACTCCCAGTGCAATGGAAGGGAGAACTTTCAATCCCTTTCACTCACTCCAAACAATCCTTGTTTCAGCATTAAAGCATTTGCAGTACCTGAAGGATTTTCTTCAGCCTCCGCTGCCCAAGACAGCAAGAATGAAGACAGGGAACAAGGGTACCATGCTCCTGAAATCATTCCTCTTTATGGGGTCTCAGCCAGAATGGTGCCACTCTTTCAGGAGTCTGGACACAGGTAAGCACTAGGGAAGTACAACAAAACCACTGCTACATGAAGAGAGGGACTAACAAACCTGCAACCATTTGTCTGCCCTCGTGGGGAGGGCCCTGCCAGGCTGTGATGGCACTCAGGAAGAGATTTTTCGCTTCAAAAAGGGAAGAAAGATGAGAGGCTGTGACAGCAGCTTTCAGCAAGTACATCACTTCTCCCACAGCTAAGGAGGTGATAGCTCAAGTGTCAAAATTGATACATTTTACTTGGATTGTCTTAATTTCCCATTGGATAAGGCATATCCTGCCCACCCACATATGGTTTACTTAAAAGAGGTAATTTAAATTACTCACTTGCCTCCTTGTGCCCTTACCTTGCCTGTTTTGGTGTCGTTTAGACTGTACTCAGTCTCTGTTCAGCTGAACATTTTTGTACATTAGGGTCATCCCCACAAACTAGGCTCCCAAAACGAGTTTAGAGTCTCTGTAATTACTGCTCTGAGCCTTTAATCTCAGTACAGTAACTGAGGTGTAGCAAGAAACCACTTTTTAGCAGATAAATGTCAGTATTTTGCTGTTGCTACCGAGTGCAATCAGGGTAGTCACTGTTTCTGACTTAGTGCCAGAACCCAGCATTCAGATAATTAAAGCAGTAAGTTCAAAATGTTCTTTCTCTTCAGAAAAGGCAGCATCCTCTCAAGCAGTGAGGTGAGAAACATCATCATTGACTATGTGAAGACCAACGAGCTGGTTGATGAATCAAACAAAAAGTGAGTTGTCCTGCCCTGCTTCCACAGGAGATGCTGCAATTAGAGGACAAAAGTGATTTGCTTCTAATGCATGTTTTTGGTTTTTAGCTTTGTGAAGGTGAATGCCATTCTGTGTGACTGCCTGTTAGATAAATCAGAACAAGATGAGATCTCACACCTTCAATGGGATGACCTCTTGAGCAGGTGATTTTTTTCCTAGTGTCCCTTTTCAGAATTACACAATTTTATTGCACTCAAAGCCGCGTGTTAGGAGCTGTTTAAGTTTTAACTTCCTGCTGGTAATCCAACAAAAGTAGCCAGAGACCTTCACTTAAACGATCTCGTTCTTTATTTAATGAATAGATACAATTAACTAGTGCTGGAGGGTTTTTTTGTTTACCTGGTAACCACTTATCAAGGAAAACTTCCTAAACAAACAGTGACTCGTTCTGTGTGTAATCCATATGTACATATTTATAAAGTCATCTTTGCAGTAGATAACTGAACATGCCCTTTTTAGGTGGTCAGCCTGCTCCTCTGTGCAGCACAACTCCAATGTCTTTATTACCTCGAGTTTCTTCATCACACAATGTTTCTGAGGCTCCTCCAGCTGCTTCCTTTATCTCTGAACCCAGGTTTGCTTGTGGGATAGGAACACAGTTTATGCTGAATTTGAAGTTGCTTCACCAGTCTGTGAACAATTGCTTAAAGGCAAAATGAAATAAGGTTTTTCCTCTGCAAGAACTAATTTGTAACTGGGTAAAACTTTATCATCTAAGCTATAATTTTTGTGAGTCAGTAGACTTGCTTTCTTTTCAGTCAGTCCCTTGCTTTAAATCACAGCTGGGATGCAAATCTTTTCAGGAGACCATCTTTCATTATCTTCTTAAGATACAAATTCTTATTCCACATACAATCTTGGCTTGCTTGTAGTTCCAAAAACCTGTGAGAGGCTGCAGTGGGAAAGCACAATTAACTGCTCTACTGACTAATTGGGTGTCTAAACTTTGTTCAGGTGCCTTGAACGACTGCAGCTCTTCCATCAGGTGACATTCTTTGGACAAGAACCTGTTGTGAGGAAAGGACGCGTTGAGCCCATCAACATAACCATAGCCCAGAGATCATCAAATAAGAAGGTAAAAAGAGAACTAAAATGAGGGGGTTTGAGCAGAAGCCCAGATCCCACAAGAGCAGCTTTGGCAGCTCGTTTTGCTGGGCTGAAGGAGCCGTGGTTTGCTGGTACCTCCAGCAGTGATGTTTGCAATCCTTATTAAACCCGCAGGTGACAATTATCAGGAACCTGGAGCTGTATGGTCTGGACCCTCAGTGTGTGGCCAACGCCCTGCAACTGAAAGTCCAAGCCAGTGCCACCATCACCCCAGTACCAGGAGCAAAAGACAGAGTTCAGGTCCAGATCCAAGGGAACCAAATCCATCATCTGGCCAAGATGCTGCTCGGTAAGTGGATTGTGATTGCAGGGAGAGTGAGATTTTAGTTCTTGGGCTGAGGCTGTTTCACCTGAAGTGAGTGAACTCTGGGTTGTGTTGCAGAAGAGTATCAGCTACCTCGGAAATACATCCGAGGCCTTGAGAAGGCTCCGAAGCTTGGCCGGAAGAAGTAGGAGAAAAATCTGCCCTGAGGATTGCTCAGCTCTCGTTATTTATTCAGGAGTTTGTTTCCTGCCAACAAAGCAAGGATCATGTGCAGTCCCTGTTCATTCAAAAATGAGTCCTGGATGTTTACAAGGTCTGGAATTCACCCAAATAATGATACTGCTCCAGGTGTTCATTTTTCATAAAAATAAAAAGCTGAATAAAACCCCTTTTGTGATATTTTGTAGGAATTCCTGCTGATGCACTGATTTTCTGGCTGCAGTGGCTTTTGGGTTGTTTAGCATTCTTGCTTTGCCTCTTTGATTGAGGGCATTTAATAAACCTCCACTGAAATGTGAGCAAAATGCATTCCAACACCTCATCCTGGGACAGCCTCGTGTCCTGCCATAACTATGTTTGTCAGAAGTAAAACCCCTTTGGCTTTAGTTTTTATCCTTTTAAACATTTCCAGGTATTAATACAGACATTTCAGCACTGAGAAGAGACTCTATTAGCTGGACTTTTATGGTTTATGTTATTTATATATATATAAATACACTTTAATGTATGACATCAGCTGTAATTTATCACAGTTCTGTCAGACCCAGCTGAAATGTTAAGAAAGATTAATGGGACACTCTGGTCAGGTTCCACAGATGTTCTGTAGCTCTTAAACTGAAGCTTAAACACTTTACAGTAGGGTTAGAAAATTGAAATTCACTGCTAGGGAGGATTCCTTTAGACTTAATACTTGGAAGTTCCATAGGAGGGCGCCAGAAAAAGAAAGTAAAGAGATTTCTTTAATCACTGACAGTTTTATTATTGTCTCTTACACTGTCTGCATATGAACAAGTAGTTTCAGAACCTTCAAAAAAAGCTGAAAGTGAGACATTTTTTAAAAATGCCATAGAATTACTAGGGAGTAGTAAAAATAAATTACAGCATTGCAAAAATGCATTTCACTTTGCCATAGAAGCTTTACTATTCCATCCTATACACAGTATTTTACATGTTTTACAGTAGACATGAAAAATAAACTCACACGACCTAGGCAAGACAATTACTAACCAAAGGCACTGCCAACAGTATTTTGAGCAGAGAAGGGGCAAATACTTCTAAAAACCAGCTCAACTGACCTATCAGACACCCCTTTATGTCGAAAAAGAACCCAAAAGAAAGAGCCCTCCTCTTGGCAGGAGGTTTTCAGCAGCATCCACAGTGATTGCATAAGAAGCCATGCCTTCTACAAACTGTCAAAGACATGCTGGGGGCCAGGGAGGGAGAGGGGGGGCAGTCACCAAAACTGGTAGAAAAACAACAACAACAACAAAGAAAAAAAAAGAAATCTGCACAACTTTCAGCCAGAAAGAAAAGGGATTTAAAAACGGTTTTAAATCCAAGCGTGTGGATCTTACTTCTCAGAACCAATGGCATTTTTTTTTTTACAGTGTTTTTCCCTTTGATGGAACAGAAGTATTTATATGGTGCTTTCAAGACTCAAAAGCACTAGATAAAATGTTATTTAAGTTGCTTCACGAGTGAAGAGTGAAGTAATAAGTCTTCTTGTAACTGGACAAACAGCCCCAGAGCATGGAAATTGCTGCTCTGTGGCTGCCACCACGTTGTTAAAGGTCATTGGGTGTAGAGTACAGTACAGCTGGAGGCCCTTCCTGCCCTGGGAGCAAAACCCTCTCACCACTGACCAAAACAGGAGCTGCAGAAAGCGGCTTTAAGAGATGCAGTTACTCTCAGTTTACTCTCACATGGTTTACAAACAAACATACTCTCTAAATCTGGAAAAGAAAAAACCAAAATCCCAAGCAGTCACCTTCCAGAAAGAAACAAAACCGTTCCTCGTCCCTCTACACACGAAAGCAGCCTCATCACACCAGTACTTTGGGTATCTGGGGGGGGCAGGAGCGACGAGGCCTCTTGCCAGAAGCCCCTTCCAGGTTCCTCCTTAGCCCAAATGCAAAGTTTTCACACTTTAGGGAGAAAAAATAAAGGCACTGAGGTAAATTTTAGACTCCTCCACGTTACCCAATAACCTGTTGCCTCCCCTCCCGCTCGATGCAGGTGGGATCAGAGCAGCCCACGAGCTCAAAGGGACACTTTGTTCACCAAGTCAACAGGAAACCCTTTGCCATGCTCCATCCCAATCCAGCAGCGCTGACATTCCCTTTTCCCCACGCCTTGTTGTGGTGTCCTGTGTAAACAGAGGGAGGGCTGGCCCTGGCTGTGTGCAGCGTGCTTGGGAGGAAGCACAGAGTAAACGTGGGGCCCATCCTGTCCCACTGGAATCCCTGGAGCTGCCCGGCCGTGGCACCAGCACCAGCAGGACTCTGGTCAGAGTGAGGGCAGGAACTGAGGCTCCAGCTCGAGGAATTCTCTGAGGGATGCTCAGTGTGTGCATCCAGTGGGAGCCCTGAGATTGGGAGAGAGACCTGCTGTCCTCTCCGAACTGCACGGAGAGAGCAGAACCTGGAACCTCCCTGGGTGAGCACCGACTGAGAGAACAGGACCCAGAGGGGCACAGGGATGGGGTGTCATGGACAGCAGTGCCAGGAGGGATGGCAAGGAGGAAGGACGGGATGAGGGGTGAGCAGAAAGCATCTGAGGCCAATAGTTCCCTTACTCCTGGTCTTAAGGCTTTCTCACACGCTCTTGGTGCCACCTCCACACCCCAGGCCTGGTTGGAGCTCCTCTGCCTCGCTGCCAGACCTGTTCACAGCTCAAAATCAGTCTGAACTGTGAAGGGGTTTTGAGCTTTCCTGGGTTAGCCTGCTGGAGATGTATTGCTAAACATTCCATACTGAACCATCAGCCTATGCCCCAACCGTCATCCTTACACTTTTCAAACAGAATTTCCTAAAACATAGGTTCCCAATTCCTACAGAGCAGGAAACTCATAAAACACTGGCTTAACTCAGCTAAGCATCAGGGGTATTTGCTTTAATTCACCTTTGCAAAAGTAGAAGTCAAACAGAATCAAAACGAACGACTTTTCCAGGAACTAATATTACCAAGTCTCAATAATCCTTACTAACAGCCTGTTTGGGTGTTGCAGCTGCCTGGGTGTCATAACTTGGCACTTCCCTGGCTACCTTAGCCCTGAACAAGTCCATCCAGCACTGGTTACAGCTGCAACACCCACATGATTTGGTGCAACAACCTCCAACCCTTTATCTGCTGCTTCCTGTGCTCTCCTTGCAAAACCAGAACTGGGCCACGTGGGCTGGAGCACCTCTGAACAGGAACAAGCCAGGCTGAGGGAGGACCACAAACAGCAAGTCTTGCCCTGCTCAAAACATTTAGCCAGGAGATGTTCCTGTGGGGTTTAACACCGAGGATTTTCCACGGAGCCTCTCCATGGGATGGTGCAGCTGAAAAGCCAACCAGCAGCTGTGTTTGGTTCGTCGACCTGCTTTAAAACAGGCTTCCCGTTCTTGGACTGGCTCTGGTCCTGGGATAAGAGGTTTCAGAAGAAGAAAATGCAATAGGATCACTTTAGGGGTGCTGGGAGCCAGTCCTTAATGGAAGGATGAAAAGGGAGAGTGACTAAGGTGTCCTGAGAAGTGTCTTTTCATTTAAAAACAGTATCTAGCTTAGTCCGGTGCCTGGTGCCTCCTGAAGGTTATCCAGGTTTACCTCTGGCTTCTTTCAAGGTCTGTTGCAGTCTCTGTTTAAACCTCTCGTACTTCCTGTGCACTTGCTGGATTTTGTCCTTTTCTTCTTTGTCCAGGATCATCAGGAAGTTCTGAAGCTCTGGGATGGAGAAGGCATCCCACTGCAAAACCAGCAGAGACAAAGTGAGCACACACTGTCCACCTTATGGGCCTTGAGGGTTATTTTCCCCCCCTCAATCCGTGAAGTGGAACAATAGGAGACATTTAACCATATCTGATCTCCAGGGAGCTTAACCTCATATTGTGAGAGAGGGAGATGGGGTAAGGGGCTACAGCACGAAGGACCATCCCAGTCCTGAGCCCCTGAGTCTGTAGAAGCAATTAAAAATCATCTTTACTCAGGTGAATTAAAGCTCCCACTGCAGGAGATGCCACAATTCCCCAAGGAACTGAAATACATGCGGGAGTACTGGATGTGACATCCACCCACACTTGTTGGTACAAGGGGAGCGAGGCCCCAGTGGTGACTCTGCCCAGAGGAGCCAATTCTCTTGATTTTATTGCAGTTATCAAAACTGTTTGAGCCTCAGTAAATCCCCTGGCACGCACAGGCTGCTCAGCTGTCACCTGTGACAGCACCAGGCTGACAGCAAGGGACAGGCAGGACACAGGCTGGTGGCTCTGATCACTTAATAAATACTGCTGTGTGTCTGCTCAGCACTGCCACAGGAATCCAGCATTCCCATGGCATCCTTCCCAAGCCCAGTCCTGCTCCTCTTGTCAGCACAGCATGTCCCAGCCACCCCACAGCACGTGAGGCAGAATCCCACGGGATGCAGCAGCTCCCAGCATTTCCCTTCACTGTGGTGAGGAGCAAGACTGCAACCAAAAACTGATGTGAATTTATTACCTGAGTGTCCCTGGCTTCCACTAAAATTAGTGGATTATTTATGACAGTGTTCAGCTAATCTAATTAGCGAGGATTAACTCTGGGGTGGCGCTGCCGGGTTCCGTAAACAGATTACGGGGTGGCCATCAAAACTGGCCCCAGCATTTTCACAGCTCAGATTTAAACTGTTTTAAAAATCCAGATAATTTAGGAGCAATAGATGGCCAACCCAGCCCCAAATAAGAGGAAACAGCCTTTCTGGCATGGCACCACTTCACCCGTGCTGTGTCTTTCACACACCTCCCAGCCCTGCCACGTGCTCCACAGCAGCGTTCATGTGAAAACCAAGGCAAAGAGGCCCCCACATACCTCAACTTCCCCTGTTTCATTTTCCTTCAGCACAAAACTCAGCGCGTCTGTGTCAGGGCCTGCCAGCAGCCGGAGGTACAGGGGGTACTCGGTGAGAGGGAGCTTCTGGAAGAGCACTGCAAGGGGACAGCAAACACCCACCGTGAGGTCGTGGCTGCCAGGGCATGGGACAGCTCAGGAGGTCAACTGGAGCATGTAAAAGGGGTTCATAATCTTTCAGGATCATGGGGGAAGCAGCTGAGTCTCTAACACAGATCCATAATGATCTTTGTAAGGTGGTTTCAGCTCCTTCTCAAACCATAATTCCCCGTTAGCTTAAGCAGCATCCCCTCCTGGGGAGGTCTGCACATTTATTCACCTGAATTTAGCCTGTACCTGCCTGACACCCCACTGATTCCTGCAAGACTTTGGGTGCCTTTCTGCAACACAAAACAGAAGCAGAACCCATCAGCCACAGCAAGGCTGGTGGCCCTGAGGGCCCGAACTCACCTTGCCCGTCCTTCCGCATCTCCTTGAAAAGTGCAAACTTCTGGGGATTATCCACCACCATGAACTTCTTCAGGAGCCCCTGGATCACCTCGCTCACCGTGGTCGTGCTGCTGATGTGGAGCTGCTTGATGGCGTCCAGGGGCAGGTAGAAGGAGGTCCTCTTGTCCGTCATGTCAGCCAGGTTCACCTCCCTGAGGGCATCGTAGATGGACTGGGGCCGGATCCCGGCCGGCACCGTCACGGGCCGGCGCAGCTTCAAGTGCACTTTGATGAAACCTGTGTATGTCCCATCGTCGTTCTAAAGCACGGGAGAGGCAGGTCAGGCTCCAGGGACTCTTTCTAGTCTTTCCTCACCCCCTCAGACCTTTCTGGTCTGCAGTGTGGGGCGACAGCAGGACATCCTCCCATCCCGCCCCCCCCTTGGCACTGCTGGGGTTTGGGGGGTTCTTATTAATCATGCAAAAATTAACTAACTGCTAATTTTGGGTCAGGCACTGCTGATTTTCTCCTGTTCCTTCCCCCCAGCCATGACTCAGCCCTTCCCCTGTGTCATCTTGGTTTGCTTCAAACCAGCACTGCTCCGAGTCAGTTGTGGAAACCATTACATGGAATTTGTAGTTGCATTTAAGTGAGGATTAGAAAGGGTGGGAAGGGCTGTGCCTTCGTGTTCAGCAGGATCTCCCAGCCGTATCCCTCACATTTTATTCTGGGCTTAGGGGGTTGATCACCATGGCACAAATCACCACTGGAGATCAGCCTGTCTCACCACAGGTCCCTTACCCCACCCTCAGCTCTGCAAAAATGCAGAAATCAGGAGAAAAGCCTGGTTCTGCACAGTCCATCCTTATTTTCAGATGTCATCAAACACCAGGGAGTTATGTAGCTGCTGTTCTTGGAAGTTCTACAATTTAATTATTTCAGCCTTTAAGGAGCTCTGGCCCCTCTCTGTAAGGCCCTGTGAAGTTTGTACCTTTGTGTTACTCCAGGGTGTAAAAGAGGGGCTTTCCTTGTTTTCTCACCACATATCATCAAGGCCTTACGTAAAGGTGGCAATAAGCAAGTTTGCAATAAAAGCTCCAAAAGACAAATGTTCTTCAGACTTCTGTTTAAGCAAGTCTGGCAGAGGAGAGGGGAGGAAGCATCTCTTTCTAGAAAGATTTTCATGTTTTAAAATACTCTTTACGTTTCCAAACGCGCTTTGCGACAGCGGCTGAACTGCAGCGTCACAGCCTGACTCATCCCCGCCAGAACAACGTGGGCTCATCTATTTGTGGCAAGTCATTGCCAGCACAGGCTGGCCAGAGATTACTGTGCCAGCACTGCCAGCCAGAAGGGATGGAGGCAGGGAAGGGGTATCTGCACCAGGGAAAGCCAAGCAGGACGAAGAGCAGCTCAACAGCCACAAGCCCTGGTTGCCCCAGTGACACCTTCCCCCAGGCTGGCTCAGTCCACAGCCCAGAGAAACCAGCACCAGCCTCTGTGCACGAGACAAAAGCAGCCCAGCACGTACCAGCTTCATCAACAGGCAGTTGGTGACCTTTGCGTTGTACTTTTCAATCCTCTGTTTGATCTCCTGGACAGTCGGAGGCTCAGGCTTTTCTTCTTCTACTGTTTGTGTTACATTCTGGAATCAGAAGAGATGGGCTTTAGCTGCTCTGTGTGTTGGGTAACACTCCATCTGCTCAGCTCTGCTTTTCCTTGGGAAAGCAGGAGCAGATCCTGCGCAGATCCTGAGCTCACGCTCGCAGTGATGACGCAGGTGGGGATGGTCCCTGCAGCCAGGAGGCCAAATGTGCACATCCCTGCCCCCAAACCACCCCTGTACACCAGGAACAGGCAGTGGAGGGCAACACAAAACCCACCAGTTAGTGACACGGAGCACTGAAACACCCCACTACAAACCAGGGCAAAAAAATCCAGCCTTTAAAACTCAATTCCAAAGCAAAGCCACCTGCACCCATGATCACTTAGTTACTTCTTGCAAGGCAGTCTGGAAGAAAAAAATCACGTCCCATTTCCAATATTCACGGCTCTGCCTCCCCAGAACCCAGGGTGCTCATCAAGCAGCTCCCAGCGGGTTCACCCAGGCAGAACCTGAAGTTAAATCTCTCGCTCCTCTCGTCCAAAGCCGTGGAAATTATAGCTCAGAGCAATAATACCACACAAGCAACAAGACTGCTGCATGACTAATAAATCAGTCACTGCAAAGCCAGTCAAAGCATCCCCAGCCCGTGTCAGAAACCGTCTGCCCACATGTGAGTTCACAGGGAGGGTGACGGCGGCTGCTGCTCGCCTGGCTTTTGGGGGAATTTCCTCCTGGGAGGCAAAACCAACAGATCTGACACGTAGGTGGGCTTCACCTGAAGGCCCACCCATGGAAATGTCACTCATGAATAATCACAGAACCATTAAGGTTTGAAAAGACCTCTAAGATTGAGTCCAGCTGTTGGCACAGCACTGCCGTGCTCAGCGCTAAACCACGTCCCCAGGTGCCACATCCACAGGCCTCCTGAACACCTCCAGGGATGCTGACTCCACCACTTCCCTGGGCAGCCTGTTCCACTGCCTGACCACCCTTTCTTCAATGAAGAATTTTTGTCCTGATATCCACTCTAAACCTCCCCTGGTTCCCCTCCAGCCAGGAGAGCAGGTCTCCTCTCAAGCCCCGCCTGCCTTATCTGCTAAATCTGCTGCAAACAAGCCTGTGTGTGTCTTGGGCAACGCTCAGTGGGCTGGATCTCCCAGCACAGAGCTCTGCTGCCTTCCCAGAACTCACCACCTTCCCTGGAGACAGCCTGTGAACGCATTTTGCCAGCACTGCCTGGAACTGTGCTCAGCGCTCCCAGATTTTACGTGGGCTCGCTCAGAAGTTGGCATTAGCAGAGAGCAGAAAGCGTGAAGGGATGTGCCATCAAGGCCAGGAAGGCTCAGAATAAAAACTGCAACCTCTGACAATGAAAAGAAAGAGGAAAAAAAAGCAGCTTTGGGAGCAAAGCTTGTCTCTTCCCAGGCAGCTCCAGAGCACACAAGACAAGGATGCAGCAAGCTGTAAATAAGCCAATATTGCCCAAGGCTACCCATGATATTTCTTTTAGGAGGAGAATCAAGCACAGGACAAACTGAGACCCTGGTTGCAATCTGGTAAGACAGCTGCAGTCCTGGGACTCGAGAGCCCCAAATTCATTCAAGCAAACCCCAAGTGACAGGTCACAATTTCACAATTTCCACTTGAGACGAACAAATAGCATAAAAAAACCTCTGGAAACACCAACCTGGAGCAGCAGCCCCAGGGAGAACATTGACACTGTGCTGCACTCTCCTCGTCCAGAGCCTTCCTTGGGGCTCCAAGAGAGATGGAGAGGGATTTTGGACACAGGCGTGGAGTGACAGGACAAGGGGTGATGGCTTTAAACTAGAAGAGGGGAGATTTAGATGGGATTTTAGGAGGGAATTTTTCCCTGTGAGGGTGGGGAGGCCCTGGCACAGGTTGCCCAGAGAAGCTGTGGCTGCCCCTGGATCCCTGGAAGTGTCCAAAGCCAGGTTGGACAGGACTTGGAGCAACCTGGGCTGGTGGAAGGTGTCCCTGCCCATGGCAAGGGGTGGCACTGGATGGGCTTTAAGGTCCCTTCCCACCCAAACCATTCTGTGGCTCTGTGAAAATAAATGACGAGTATTCCTGGGGTATTTAAGAATCTCACATAAACATCCACTGATCATTATGGCAGTTTCCACTCCACAGTTTGTCAAAGTCCTTCAGCAGATGCTGCTCTGTGACACATCGACTGCAGGCACTCTTATGTGGCAGCACTCAGGTGCTGGGCTGGCAGGGGAGTCTTTGAAAACAATGCCAAGGGTTGAGATTTTCAAAAGCAGCGCTGGGGAAAAGGGAAAAAAAAATAAAGAGAAAACCAACCAAACAAAAAAACCCCGTTCTCTTTAACTTAACAGAAGAGGAGCTCTCAGAAACCCTGCACTTCCTCATGTCACCCATTTCACAGTGCTGAGACAGGCAGAGCCGTGCTGCCCCCCACCCCCAGGACTGACCCCCAACCCAATCACACAGGGAGAGAGCCCAGGGGACCCCCAGGACCATCCCCTCTTACATGCACAGAGTGTTGCAGCTGCCCAGCAGGGCTGAGGGCTAAGGTTGGGCACGTTCACCAGAGTCACCCTTGGCACAAACACAGCCATCCATCCGTCCATCCACCCAGACGCACGTGGCAAAAGCAAACACAGCAGCTCACAGCCTGTCCCTGTCACTGCCTCTCCCAGCAGGGCCAGTCCCTCCCCTGCTGGGATGTTTCCAGCCCAGGGACACGGCGTGTGCCAGCAACGAGGAGCCCTGGGAGCAGCTCGGGCGTCGATGCCGCCCGGTTTCCATGGAGGACACACGGAGCACCCGGGAACACGTCAGCCTGGAGCAGTGCTGGGCCCCCACAGCAGGCACAGGGCAGGTGGTAATGGCTGTGGGTTCCTAGAACCCTAAAACACTCGCAGCAGGAGGCAGCCTGGCTCAGGGGCACGTCACAGGTCTCACGCCGTGTCACCACACAAGTGCATCAACAAACCACTGCCCAGCCTCCGGCCTCCTGCCTTCCCCAGGCACTCAGCGGGGCAGGTCAGATGTACCTGCTGCTCTCATGGCTTGCTCAGCCCCCTGCCAGCTCATTTTCCTCCTGCACCCTCCCACTGCAGGGAAAGGGAGTTTTAAGAACCTCGTTCCACGCAGCCACCCCAGCACAGGCACAGGACGGTGTCCTGGTGAAACCCATCCCTGGCCAAGCAGCGAGGTCATGGGAGAAAAGCTGTCCCACGGGATCCAGAGTGGGGCCATCCCAGCTCCAGCAGCTGTTTAGGGCTAGGGGAGCTCTGTGGGACTATAAAGAGCACTGGGGCTCTAAGGGCTCAACACTTCAGTGATGCTCAGGCCTGGCTATACCACGAGCCCATCCACCCCAACCCTGCACTCCCCACGGCTGGAGACTCTGCTTTTCTGCCTTACAGACCAAAACCCCACCTGTGAGTGAGACCCAAAGCAGCCCAGCAGCACCAGCCCCACAGTGGGGGAGCCCTGGGAAGGGACCTGGGAGGAGAAGTGCTGCTCCTTCCTCCTGTGTGATTAGATCAGCCACTTCTCGCTCTTCACAAATCCACCCCGACCTCCGGTTGTGCAAAGTTTCTGGTGCAGAATCTGCAATTCTGGCTAAAGGAAGAAAAAACAGAAGCTTTAACCATAAACCGTTGCCACATTTCCTGTTGCACCGGGACAGGAGGAAACGAGCTGTGAACAAAACAACAGCTCGGGCACCTCTGCCTGCACCTGAACCTGCAGCTTCCCTGGATGGAAAACAGGGAAGAGCAACCCCAGCCATCCCTGGGGATCACCTCATGGCCTCACAACAGGACACCCCTGTGCCAGCCTGCACAACCAGCACATCCCATCGTGCCACCCTCCCATGCAGCTGGCAGGCAAGGCTGGAGCTGCCAGGGGGATTCCACACCTGCTCCATCAAAAACCTGATGCAGAACATGGCATGGCTGTGGATGCCAGAGGTTAAACAGGCTGTCAGCTCGCTGGCAGTGCTTAAACTCAGCAGGTGAGGGGTTTGCCAGCCTGTGTGACACTGCCATAAAGTAACTCCCAGACCTGCAGCGACACAGGCACCCACAGACTGCAGAGCAAAGTCACAGTGACCTGCACAGGACCCTGCCCATGCCCTCCCCCTGCACACAGGCTCCCTTCCACACCCTACATTATCCCTCTGTTGTAAGAGATGACTCGAGCCCCATCTGGCACTTGGGCTAAAGCTCAGTGGGATAAAGGCTGCCCAGCTCCTGGTGCACAAAGCCCATGGCCCGGGGCTCGGGCAGCCACTGTGCCCACGAGTTCCCCCACACCAACCCCCTCCCTGCAACCCACCACTCAGCTAATGAGCCGTGAGCTTGTGACAGGCTATTATGGAAAACCCACAGGCCCTGGTGATTGTGGTGACACGCTCTCAAAAGAATTCTGAGCCAGGAGAGGCAGCAGCGAAGCCTCTGAGACAGATATTTCCATGTATCGGTTTGCAAGGAGAAACACTCTCCACGTCCAGTCAAAGGGCATCCTCCCCACAGCCCAAAGTCAACCACCAACCTAAAAACCTTTCTAAAGCAAGCAAAGGCAGCAGCTCTGCTGCTCTAGGTGGGACCCAGGAGCTCTCTGATGCCACTTTAGCAGTGTGGGTGGATGGTGCCCTCTCCCATGGCTCCACCACAGCCCCAGTTGGCACAAAGGAGCTGTGGTTACAATTTGGATGCACAGCTCAAGAGGTGGATGACCAGCAGTTCACTGTGTTGGTCTTTGCCATGAGCTTCACCACCAAACCAGACATGGAAAGGCAGAGTAGGCAGAAAGTCTGAGGGTGCCCTTCCCTAGGACACTCCTTGGAGCAAGGGACGCTTCCCTGCAGCCCCAAACCAGCCTCAGGGACACCATCCCTGCTCCCTCGCTCCCAGCCAATTCTCCTCACCAGCTTTTTAGTTAATGAATTTGAAGAGCAGAGCAGTAGAGATGGAGCTGGCCCAACATCACCACATTCTTGGCATTGACCATCTTATCTGGAGGCAGGAGTGGCCAAGCCCTCCCTGGTGTGCTCAGGCACAGCTCCACCACCATTTACATCAGCCATGCTGTGACAACTTGCATTCCCAAAAACACATCCTGAGCTCTCCCTTTGGCTTCTATGTTCAGACAGCAGGAGTAATTCAAAGATCTCTTCAGAAGGGATTATACAACTCAGGGCACCAACCCTCAGTTCTCCTGCTTATTATGGGAAGATTTGTCCTAAAATATCAGAAAGCAAAGCCTGGAGAGCACGTCTGAGCCACAGTTCAGAGAAGCATCACCGTCCTGTGCCCACTATCACACCACAGCACAAAGGACTGGAAATAGAAGTGAATGCTTCAAATTTGAGGCAGAAACATGAGAGGCAGCAGCTCAGAACTGTAAATCCAGCTGCAGCAGGGAGTGGTGGCAGCTGGGGACACTGGGGCCAAGGCAGTCACCAGAGCTGGGACATCTCTGCTCTCACAGAGCTCTCCATCACTGCTCAACACCCAACACTTCCCCTTCACCACCCACTCCCATGGTTCACAGCACTATACTGGGAAAGGATCCACTGCTCCAGCACAGACAGGCAGGGGAGAGAATCATACAACAGATTTGGACCAAAAATCACCCCAAAAAGACCCCTAAATACCCCAACATTTCCCTCCCCTTGAGAAATTCAGACGAGAGGCTGTGGTTTACTTCGGGGTTCAGAGGAAAAGGCAGAAGATAAGAGAGCTGTGCATCTCTAGAGGAGGGGAGAGGGATGGTTGCTGCATTTCTGAGAGGTTAGAGCAAGTGAAGATGGGCTCAGTATTTTGATTGCCATGGAGATTTCACTTAGAAACCGTTTTTCCTGCCACGTCTCTGCTCAGCAGTGAGAGCTGAGAAGGTCCTCACAAGGAGCTGCATCTCAGGGAGATTCTGGGCTGGGCAGGACCCCAGGGGTGCACAACCACACCAGGGTCTGTGTGCTCAGAGACCCTGGCCTGGGTGGTGGATCAGAGGGATCTGCTGATCCTCAGGAGCAGACACTGGGAACTGGTCACAGCCTTGCAGGGCCAGAAAAAGCTTCTTCACCCCCCTTCCCAAAGAGATGCCCCAGGGCCATCCCTTCAGGCAGACTGCACCTGCCTCCCCCCTGGGAATCACTCTGTGCTCTCTGGAACAAGGGGACAAAGAGAGGACCCTGAACTAGTCCCTGGGCTCTGGCTCCTCTGCACTGCACCAGGCAGGCAATGCCCACTTTGCCCACCCAACACCTGCTGGTTACCCACGAGCCATCTCATCCAGCCCCTGCTCAGCTCCTGTCCCTCCCGTGTTTTCTATTCCTGGACAGACACTTGCCCCTCTCTCTCCCTGTCTGAGCCAGCTCTCCCAGCAGCCACTGATGCAGGACTCCAAGAGCAATTTTGCAGAGTTTTAAGCAATCAGGCTTCAGGCAGAAGCCACTGAAGCCATTCAGCTGGAGAGGCCTGAAAATGCCAAGTAATGGATCTCCAGGGAGGAGGTCACACGTGAGATCTAAAACAGTTCCCTGCTAATGAAGAGTGATTGCAGTGATGGTTCTGAAAATAAAAAGGAATTACAGCAATCCTGGAAAGAGGCTCTTCAGGTTAATACAGTTATTTCAATCAGAAAAATCAGTTCTGCAATCACAGAGAGCAAATTCCACTCTGCTGTTTTAAGTGACTGGAGACATGTATGTCTCCTCCTACCCCCACATTTCCTCCACAGAGATGTTTCCTATGTCTTTCAAGACATGTATCCCTAAGTTATCCACATTTAGCTTCCTCCTGCCCCGTGCAGGGCATGCCCATGGGTTGATGGGTGCCACACTGTGCATCCTGGGTTCAGGAATCATTCCTGGGCATCTAAAGAGGGGCAAACATCACCACTCCCAAACACACCCATCAGGTTAACTCACTTCTGGGTCTAAGCTGGTGTCTTCTGGCCGTGGGCAGGAGCAGGGACCATACTTGGGGAAAAACAAAGTTGTTGCCACAAGCAGCTCTTGCCAGTGGTGCAAATGTTCCACATTCAATAACATCGCTTAATTAAGGTGCCAAGGTGAAAAGGGGAGGGGACAGGGAGTGATTCAAACCCTATATGAGATGTCCACCACCTCCTCCCCCTGCAGGATTTGCACCACCACCAACCCCCAGGATGCCACGAACCCCCCAAAACCTTCTTCCCCCGAGGCCTGACGGTGCTTTCCACCTCCAGCCTGAGGCACACGAGGCCCCATCTCCACACGTTACACAACACCAGTTGGTTTTAAGCAGCACATTTTGTGTGGTTGTGTGTTTTTTGTTTTGTTTTTTTTTCTCTTTCCACTCACAGGAACCATTTCCTCCCCATAACACCAAACCCCCGAAAGGCTCCATCTTCCCCGGCAGCGCGAGCTCCGCCGCCCACGCCGGTCACATCCAGGCAAGGGAGCTGGGAAAAAAAAAGGAGCTGCAGCACCTCCAAATCCCTCTCACAGAGGGAGAGCTCCTGAGCACCAACAGCACAACAGGGCTGGTTTCCAAAGGGTACCCAGGGATCTGCAGTGCCCTGGCTCAAACAGAGCAGCACCGGCTGCACCAGCACCCCAATCTCTTACATCTCCTACACAGATGAATCATCAAATGACATTTAAAAACCAGCAGTAAGTGTCGGTTAATCATAGTGAAAGGGAGCTGCTGGCCAGCAGGGAATATCCCACCTTAAACCCAAGGGAGTGTTTCCTCAGAGAAATCCAAATTCCCACTAGACTGAAGCTCTCCCCCAGAGCAGCCCCTCCTTCCCAGGGAGAGAAGGGGAGAGCCCTCGGATTGCAGGAGGCTGAACCCCAAAGCACCAGCTCAGGATTGCTGCTCTGCAGCTTCAGGTGCAAATGCAGCAGAGCATGAACAGGGGGAATTTTAAGTGAAAAAAGCTGTTCCCTGGGCCAGATTTGACCTCTGGGTGCTGCAGGGCTCTCGTTATGGTGTGAAACCCCCACTTCCGCAGCAGCACCTTCTCCTTTTATGCTCAGCTCTGGTTGAGGCCCCGAAGTTTATGACAGGGATTTTTAATTCTACTTAAATAAACGCTTAAAACCCACGAAGCAGCCTTGTCAATGTCACTGAGGCAGAAATCTCACCCTGGGGTGAAAACTGCCCAGGCAAACCCTCTCTTCCTTCCCCAAGGCAGGGGCACATGGCCCCCAGGCGCCCAGGGAAGGACCACATTCATCACTGTGTTAATAGGTTCACAGATTAATTTAGTCCTGAACTTTCCCATCTCCTCATCCGCAATTTTCAGCAATGCTGCAGATTTTGTGAGGCCAAACCACAGGTCCCTGGCTGGGAGCCTGACCCGTGGATGACAGCTGGCAGGGCTGCTACAGGATTTCACCTAACGCTGAAAAAAACAAAAAATCACATCGAGAGTCGGCTCCTCCAGCGTGAATCCCCCGGGGAAGGGGGAAACCCGGCTTGTAAAGGTTGAGATGGCTGAGGAAAACCTGCAGCACCGCAGACCCCCCTGCACAGGAGAGGGAAGAGCCCTCCGGCAGCTCTGCCCTGACTCCAGCACAAGCTCATTTTGGCAGCACCCGCAGCCAAACGTGCGGGAACACCGAAATCCCCCTCCTCCGGTGTCCCCCTCACCCCTCCCAGCACATCCCTCCTCACTAGTTCTGAGCTGTTACCTTGGCAGGGACCTTGCTCTGCGCGCTGCGGAAAAAAGAGGTTTTTGCCGTGAAAAAGCAATCCTCGAGGTCTTCATCCAAACTGCAGTACCCGCTGCTCATGCTGCTGCCGATGGTCATCGAAGCCCGGCAGAGGAGAGAGGCTGAGGGCGCACGGGGGTCGCCGGGGGGCTCGGGGGGCCGGCGACCATCGGGGTCCCCGCTGCAAGCCCGCGCTCACATCCTCGGCTCGCCGGTGCTTTATCTGCAGCAGCTCCTTCTGCTCATCCTCCGGAGCCAGCCGAGCTATTCCTCTTTAACAGGCAGCCGTGCCGGGTAACCCTTCCCTTCCCTCTCCTCCTCCTCCTCCTCCTCCACCCGCCTCCCTGCGCAGCGGCGCTGGGGCAGCATGGAAGGGGCAGAGCTGCAGGTTGGCTGCCGGAGCCCGGCTCCGCTCGCTGCCCCCGGGCCGGTCCCGCGGGTGCCCGCGCAGCATCGCCTCGCCCTCGCCTCCCCTTCCTGCCCTCGCCTCGCTCGGCGCAGCCCCGGCCACTTCCTCTTGCAGGATTTCTCACCCCGCTCGCAGCCGAGGTGCTGGGCACTGCCCGGCCACCCGTGGGGACACCCTGGCACCACCGTGGTGACCCAAAACACATCGCTAGGGCGGGCTGGATGCTGCTCCGTCCCTGTCAGCTGCCGGGGCATCACCTCTCTTTGGGAATCAAGGCCAGGCTGGATCACAAGGTGGTGGGGAAGAGGGGGGCTGGTGAGGATGCAACCTGAGACCCTCCTCGGGGTCCCAGAGACCCCTGGCCATCACACTGCGGGAGGTACTGGGTGCCTCTCTGCTCTGCAGATAATTTTAGAGCAGCAGGAACAATTTCAGCAGCACTGGTACCCAGATGAGGCAGCTTTGACTGCAGACCAGGAAAAAGCCTTTCAGCTCCTGGGTCCTGTTTGCAAGAAGCTCCAGACTGATGAAAATGCCGTGTTGGCCTTGGAAAGAGGCTCAGAACAACAGCATCATCCCTGCTCCCCTCTCCCCTCTCCCAGCCCTGCAGGGACCCACCCCAGCACTGCCTGCTCCATCCCCTCCAGAGCTGCCACCACCCAACAATACCCTGTGATTTACCCAGCAGCTCCTAAAGCAGCTGTGACCTTCCTGCTTGGTGAAGATCACCGGTGTTTCTGGAGGGGAAGAAGCTCCCCACAGGCTTTTCCTCCTCCCTCGGCAGGGGCTCCTGTGAGGGGCAGTGCATCCATGGGGAGCACAGCCCAGCACAGGCTCTCCTCACCCACCTGAAAACACACATTTGTGAGCAAGGAGAGGGGACTGAAGAAAAGTCTGACATGCTGTGTTATAAAAGACTCTGCTTAGGCAGTGCAGTAATAATGTACGTGCTGAGAATTCTTCACCACACTTCAGAAACGGAGGAGGGGACAAGGCCTGAGGGTACAGAAAGGCTTGGTTTGGAAAGGGACCTTAAAGTTCATCTCGTTCCACCCCTTGCCATGGGCAGGGACACCTTCCATTACACCAGGCTGCTCTGAGCCCTGGCCTTGAACGCTTCCAGGGATAGGGAATCCACAACTTTCCTGGGCAACCTGTGCCAGGGCCTCACCACCCTCCTAGACAACAATTTCTTCCCAGTGCCTAAGCTAAACTTGCTCCTCCAACTGGTCCAAAAGGACTCCAAGGCCTTCACAGCCACCACCCAGCACAAAAACCTCTTCCCCTCTCAATAGGTTGCAGATATTGCTCCAAACCCTTCCATCTGTATCTGTTGGTTGAAGGACTTAAATTACTCCCAGCCTTTGACAGCTCCGTGCCCCACTGCCAGCAGCATCCCAGGAATACAAACTGAGATGTGCATGGCAAAAGACTGGAGGGAGGAGGCAACATCTGCATCTCAAAAAGAGGAAGGCAAGAATCCAAGTGGCTTATTTGCAAAGCAACTGGTAACAGTGTGGAATAAATAAGCCATGCTCTCAGCAGCAGAGTCCTCCTGCAGCAGCACAACCCCCTCTGCTCCACAGGGATATATTTAGAGGAGAAAGAGGCTTAAATTGAGCATGTGCAACACAAGCAGAAAGTGAGTGTTGGGCTGATGATCAGCACTGGAGTCTCCTATGAAGCCCCAGGAGTTTCACAGGGGAACCAGGGTGCATCCCCATGCTAAGCTGGGTGCTCTCCCTCTGCATTGCTCCATGGGATTCTCCAAGAAACCCTCACTTTTCCATTGCAGTCCACCTGTGTGGGAGATCAGCTCCATTAAAGAAAAACCCCAACCAAGCCAAATAAACCCAGGTAAATTTGGTCCAGCAGCAGCTCAATCGTTCCCTGCACCTCAGCCCCCCAAAAACCCACCCACCGGTGACCTGCACTAGTTCTCAGGTGGGAAGTACATGACCAGCTCTGCCAAATCCAGGGACCAAACTCCTGGTGCTGCCAACACCAGCTGAGGTTTTTGCCAGCTGAGTCTGGATGTCAGCTGGGCAGGCTGATCCGGGACCCAAATGTAACACACTCTTAAGTACTTTACTGGATCAAAGCCCAAATTATTAATGCCTGGTATTACAAGGTAACAGCATTAAATATGTGATATTAAAGTAGTTATTTCTCTGATGCTTCCAGCTTGTTTAATTTTGATAATACTACTTAATGACTTCCAACTATGCCAGCTATTAATTTTTCCTATGTTTTCAGTGTGCAATCCCCTTCCCCTCCTGCCAGCATATTCAGGCATCCTGTTAAGACTCCTACTGGAACATTGACACTGCTTTCCCTCCATCCTCCTCCTTTCCAGCAGCAAAACCTGCCTGGCCAACAGAAACGCTCCAGGAACGTGGCTGTGTGCTCAGCTTTGTGGGATCAGATCGAGTAAACATGATTTCCCCCTGATTATCCATTATGCATAAAGGAGAACGAAGCTGTATTGCAGTGATTTACCCTCATTAACCCTCAAACCAGCCCCCACACATCTCCACCTTCCCCCAGCACAGGCAACAAGGCTCCATCCAGCACTTTGCTGTTTCCAGGTACGACCCCCCGACCAGGGCCTTGGGACTGGGTTTATGGATTTCTGTTTGCTGCTGGAATTGGAGAGACAATTTTGTTTCCTGGGCACAAAATGCCTCTCCCCCCCCTCCCTGGGATCCCAGCAGAGCCATGTCAGAGTGATGGATTGCCACTGAGCATGGGCTCTGTGTTTGTTATTAGGCCCATCAATAACCCCGGCTGGTGTTATCGCCCTGAAGATGAAACAAGCCTTCCTCATTTTCCTGAGAGCCAGGCTTTTCTCATGCTGCTGGGGGAAGCCCAACAACACCCAGCACAAATCTGGCTTCACTCCCTTATACAGACCTGCAGGCTCAGTGAGGAACCCACTCTGAGCCCCTCTGTAACACGTAACTTAGAAGATAAATCCCATCGCACTTCGGATCCCTCCTGACCAGTTTATTCTGAGCAGCACCTGCCCAGCCACACATCAGCCAGACCAAGCTCAGCAGACCTTGCACAGCAAAGGTTGGATGACAATCAAACCCCCACACCCAAGAGAAACTCCGTGTGGCCTTTGGAAAAGCACACATTCCCATCCCCAGTTCTGCACGAGCACATCAAGGCCCTCCACAAAGAGGGATATAAACACAGGGTTACAGTGAAGGTGAAAACACAGAATCGCAGGACCATCAAGGTTGCAAAAGACTTCCAAGATCATCCGGTCCAACCTTCAGCCAAGCACCCCCATGCCCACTAAACCACACTGTGAAGTGCCACATCTACTCATTCTTTGAACGCTTCCAGGGAAGGAGACTCCACCACTTCCCGGGGGAGCTGTTCCAAGCACTTTAAAAAAGAACACACAGAGACTGAAAAGGTTCCAGTTTCCAAGTCAAATCCACTCCAGGCAGGTTTCTAAGAGGTGCCTTAAGCTTCCAGCATTAAGCATCTTGCATCTCATGTGGCATGACGGGAGTCTCTGCTCCCTGCAGCCTGTTCTGCCCACGCTGGCTCCCAGGACACTGCGGCACAGACACCGAGGGACCTGGGTGGGGGGATTAAAGCCAACAGCTAAGCCTTCCGGAGTAACCCCGGGATTACTGAACTTCCCTAACACAGATTGAAGAGTCTCAATCCCCTGGGACTACTGAAACTCTTAAAACAAGGCCATTAGCCAGAACTCCTGGTGGAAAACACACCTTTGCCCCGCTGGTTTTCAAGCGCTTTGCACCCGGGGCTGGGACAAAATTTAATGCCAGTGTCGGTGCTGCCTTGCAGGCACAGGGATGTGAACTGTGTGACAAGGGGGCTGATGACCCCTTAAGGGCACTGGGACGTGGCCAGGCTGCAGAACGGGGACCCAACATTCCTTTTCCTCTCCAGTCCACTCCAGGCAGGATGGGAGCATTTTAAACACAACAAAGCTCCACACACACCTTTGCAGGGATGGAGATGCCCACACGCCCAACCTCCAGTCCACCAGATCACACCCACCCCGGCAGGGCACATGGGCAGGGTGTTTACAGCCCATCAGTGACGCTGCCTTGGGGTCTGAGCTCCGACAAGCCCTCCCCTCCTGGAAAACCCTTTGGCAGCGAGACATCAGGTCTCTGGGAGGAGATGCCACCATCACCACGAGGCTGTGCCCCCCACCCCAGAGCCCCCTCCCCGTCGTACCTGGCTGCAGGGTGGCAGCAGGGTGCTCTCAGGGGACAGCTGGCTCTGGCACGGCCCCGGCCGGCGGCAATCCAGCTGGATGAGGCTGCGGCACTCCTGGTGACACGTGTATCTGCAGTCTGCAGGGAGACAAGGAGAAGGTGAGGCACCCAGGCCTGCAGGCTGTGATTGAGGGGTGGTGAGGGAACCCCGGGAAGGGACTGGATTCCAGCTGGAGGGCACACAGATGCTCCTGAGCACCAGCACAGCCCATTCAGAGTCCCCACTGTGGGGGGGAAAAGGTACCAAAATACCTCACCCAGAGCAAACGTTGCTCCCTTGCCCTCTCCCCAACCTGTGTTCCTTGCTGCAAAGCAGCAGCATGAGCCACATTCCTGCCATTTCCCACTGCCTTTCCCCAGACCTGCTGGCACACTGACACAGCATGGAAAATGCCCCAAATCCACCAAACCAGAGGGTACCCACTCCCCAGCTCTGCTCCTGCAGAACATCTGGACCAAAAGCCTGACCACTGCACAGGATCCTTCACCTGTCCCCACCAGGAGGGGAGAAACGTCTTTGTACGAGACGAAAGTCAAAGTATTTAAGGTCACTGAACGTCATAGAATCATAGAATGGTTTGGGTTGGAAGAGACCTTAAAGAACATCTCATTGCACCTCCTGCCATGGGCAAGGGA